AAACAACAAACCGCAACGTGTCATCAAGAGAAGAGGATGAGCCCATAACGCGTTTTAAAAAATACTGGAATATACCCCAAAATAAAGCAATCAAGGTGTGTGACCCAAACAGGGTGTCGATATTTTGATAACGTTCACACTAAGTGCAAAAAAAGTAAACAATACAACAAATTGCAGCTAACAAATAAAAATTAGCCAAAATATGGTAACAAATGAGCTTTAACAACAAATTGTGAACAAATAGATAGAGTGTACATATCTGCGAACCACTTGGTGCTATGAAAATGTAAGTAATTCTCTCTTAAATGCCCAAGTACAACGAACAACAAAAAGAGCGGGCCACGGTCATGCTCTTCTGCAATTGTTATTCTTCCCATTTGATAAATGTTTCAATGATTGTCCTAACGAGGAGAGCTTTTAGGTAGTGGTGTGGTAGCTGCTGTCAAGCAATAAATAATCTTTAAATAGCCACACAAGAGATCTGCTCCAGCTGGTTGCTTGCATTGCAATCCCGATCCCTCTGCAAACATGCGGTCTCCTCTGTTGGTGGTTGATGTGTTATGATGAGTGGCCTGTGCGGCATATTATATTGTAATTTACAGCTGTGGACATGCCCATTATCGAATTATTGGTCCCACATTTCGTGTGTGTATGTAATTTGTGCGGGATGAACTGCTAATTAGGCACTGCCCATCGCCCTCCGACGATGATGAAGGGCTGTCGCTATCACGGTCGTGCTACTGTTGAGCAAACCAGTTTCCACTGAACTCGGGATGTGGGTGGGAGCTACAGAGCACTCTCAGGGGTATGCATGGGCAAGAGCTGGCAGGAGTGGCAGGGGCAATGGGACTCCAAACCAACAAACAAACAGTCGAAATTTAATGAACCAATTTTGCAGTGCCATCAGAGCGGCATCAGAAACGGTAATCCACAGAACGGCCAGGAGGAGGATGCAGTAAAAGTAGGACTCGGAGGCGGCGGCGGTGGAGTGCACCATTACTAAGACCCAGCCAGAGGCTCTGGCAATTTGGTGTAAATCTCGCTTGATCTTGGGAAAAAGTAAATAGAAAAGCACCAAAATCAAAACTTAATGAATCCTTTGCTGATCTTCTGGGGCTCAGGCCCAGGCCCAGGGCTTAAATTAAAGCCAGCCGTCGCGCCAAATCGAAACTTGACTCGACACGCAGGTATCGAGTCTAGGAGGGTGCTGGCGGTGGAAGCAGGAGGCAGCATAGAGTCCCAACAGTCAAGCAAAGCCATCGCATAAATTGGCCTGCGCCGAGGCAAAAGATTTCATTGTTGCCCATTGCTTATTATGGCCCGGGATCGGATCTAGGCCTTCATTAAACGGCTGGGCCAGCAACTGTAGCTGTAGCTGTAGCTGTGGCCTAGGCCTGTGTTTGGGTCTGGGGTCGGACTCTGGTCCGGGGAGCGAGTGCGTGAGATATGCATTATTTATCTAGCGAAATTTTTCTCATTGCTTGGAAGCAACAACTTGCCTTTGGACGCGCTGGACTCAGCGGCCACTTCCTGGTTGCCTGCCAACAGCTGCATCATAGCCTCATCCATGATAGCGAAATTCCCAAAATGATACGAATAGTTTGTTTCTGTCGGATGGAAGAGAGAGGGAGAAATATTTGGGACATCCTCAGCCGCAGCCGTGGGTTGGAGGCTGTAACCTGCAACCTGCACGTGCCTGGCTCCGCTCAGCTCCGGGGCTGACCTGCTGTGGCCAGGGCCTGCCTGATTGAACGATTGAAAGATCATCACCCGCGAGAGAGCGAGACTGCGAGCAGGATAATGATGATGATGAGGTGCAAATTGCTGCTGCCATGAAATTGCAAATCAACTTTCTGACTCCCGATTGCATTTCATTCTAAATTGTTTACTCAGCCCAGCAGCCACATCTCAGGCTCAATCTTTTGGCTCCAGTAACAGTTTCAGCTTCAGCTTCAGCTCCAACAGCATTTGTAAAAATTGCAAATCGAATTTGCCAATTGCTGGGATGCCTCTCCGCCTGGCTGATTTGTTTCTGTGGTTGCCACGAACCAACCACACAACAGCAACAGCGACTCCAACTACAATTTCGAGCACGCCCTTTAACAAGCATTTAGCTTGGGCCGACAAGCTCGTGACCCGCTGCCTCGGTGCCAGCCCCAGTTCCAGTCCCAGTCCCAGTCTCAGTCGCAACACCAGAGCCAGAGCCTGAAAGAACCCTCCCAATCTGCTTGCAAGTTTATGACTGAGCTCGAAATTGAAGTTGAAATCGGTTAGCGGTGGGTTCCCTTTTCCATTTGTTTTTTATCGCTCCACGCAAGCGCCCTGCATTTACATATTTTTGCCTGCATTTGAACTCTGATCTGGTGACCAGGGGAAGCCGATCGGATCCGATCCCCAACGGGATCCGTAACATAAACAGCCCCCAAAACTAGCAGTGGAACCACAGTGACTGTCGTTGTGGAATCAGAGGCAGCTGTGCTGTGCTCCAAGCGGAAATACTTCCCCTGTGACGAGTAGAACAAACAAATAACTATAATTAAGGCTTTTTGCTTTAATTAACACTATTGAACTCGAGCAAAGGCTGGCAAAGGGAAGCAGCAAAAGGAAGTGCCTTTTAAAACACGAAGATAACATACTCTTTCTACACAAACGAAGATCTTTTGAGGGGGAAGGAGCTCTGTTTAGCCAAAGAACTGGTAATGGAACAGAAGTGGGGAGAAAATAAAAATTAACTCTAAAATCAATAAGGTTTCATACTTGCCAATCGCGTCCATGGTACCCTCCCTCACCAAGTGTATCATTATTTGCAATCCAATAAGAACTTCCGGTCCATTTGGCGAGTGTTTTATGAATGAAAATCTTGTCGCATCCCTCGGGAGCACTCGCTCCCCCATTCGCTCCAAGTCGCTGTCCATCGCTGGCGATCGTCACGCTCATTGCCAATTAGTGCAATCAACTGGTTGAAGCGATGGAAGCAGGGTGCTCAGGCCTCGGCCTAGACAATTGCTTTGGAAATCTTACAGAGTTCACAAAACATGATAAGATTAATTGAGTGCGTCTCCCTTCGATCCCGGAGCAGCCTTCTTAGAGGCATATGTGCCCAATGTCTTGAATATATTCCTTTAGATAGGATTTATCAATAAAAGTATGTAAAATATGTACATAAATATGTACAAAATGTATTTCGAAAGCCAAGTGGGGATTTAATAAACTATTTATCTATCGATTGGCTTACCCAATTTACATGTGTACCCCCTCAAACCCCCTGCCACTCTTTCCACACTGCCCACTCTCCCCTGACTCTCCACTTGAGATAACAGCGTGCAGTCAATTTGAAATACATTTTCAATTTGTCAAATTTTGGTAGCCGTTGCCAAGATAAATTAATTTCGGCATCGATTTGATCGCTTGTCTCTGGTCATTTTGCATGGACCATGGACCATGGTGTTCTCAGGGGGGCGCGCAGAAGTAGGCGAGGGACCATGTTAGCCACAAGCCAACATGGCTTTGCTCATTGTAAATGTGCTTTAATGACCACCGGTCAGCAAATCTCATTTTTTGTCGTCGCTTGGACGCCGAGAGACCGCATGCTGGCTCACACACATCCAACTACCAGAGAGAGATAGCTATTGAGTGTGCGATAGGGAGAGATTGTCGGACTTGGCAAACATCTCTTGTACCTGCAAACGTTCCTCGCCGCCCCCTGTGCACCTCCCAACTTATTTTCTGGCCAAAATAATGACCAGTGTCCACATGGTGCAAAATTAGACATATTTTCTTCTTACTTGGGGCCATCGCAGCAGCATCCCTCTGCTAACCCCACCCCATTACTCTCTTCTGTGTGTGGCTCCTTCGGTTCACCTTTTGCATTTTCAACACCAAAAAGTTTTACATTCGGATTTTCCGCAACTGCCGAGAAAAATGACATTACAAATTGGGGGACATTTGTCTAATTAAATCCCTGCCTGCTCCAATAACGAGAGCTTAGATTACAATCTCACAGCGGTGCGTAATGGCTTTTGTGCTTGTCCTGGAAAGGGGTGGAGTGGTGGGGTAACGGGTATCGGTGTGCTAGTAAGAGTTTTGCAATTTGTGGGAAATTGAGTTGGGATTGCGGCAGAGAGTTATAGTTTGTGGGGATTGCTCCATAAAACTATCTTAAAAACTGCAGAAAACTTTTAACAACTTCTGTGCCTAAGAAGTTCTTGCTGAAATTATCACATTCCATCAGTAAAATAACTCCAAAATAATTTCATCAATATTTTATACCAATTCAGAGATAGAACCCCTTAAAACTCGTTCAACCTTTTCCATTTGGAAAACCCTTTTGTCCCCCTTTTTGTATCCATTATTTCTGAAAGACACCGTCAAGTGTCCAGCATTTGAGTGGCACTCAAGATAGGGGCAAGCACGAGCTGCATTTGTTGTACATAAAACGCTGGCCACTGACCAATTAGAGGAGCAAGCGAGTCCAGCCAACGGAGATGCAACCCCAACGAGGCGACGGACTGACCACAAGCTGCAACAACACGCAGAGGCACGAGCAACAGAGGACCTGCATATAATAGAATTAAACCAAAATCAAATAATCGTCAGACGGCTTTCACTCAATTCCCCCCCAGTCGACTCACACTCCACTCCACTCAGATGGGTTTAACTCGACTCGGGCCGACTGCTTCACTCAACTGATAAGAACACGTGTTGCTTCATTTGCCATCTCGTTCGCGCCGCCGTTTGGCTGGGCCCCTGCGGGGACCCGAAAGAGTTGCCAGAGAATGCGGGCCCCAAAACAAAACTCAAAAGAGCCGAAACCGAAGTCGAAGCTAAAGTCAAAGCACGATGTGGCAACCACGACACGAGAGACCACATCGTCGTCGCATCGCTGCAGCGTCGCAACGGGGTCCAATTAGGTGGCCGGCAGCAAATCATGCGCTCTCTGTCTCGCCTCAACAGGCTGTCCTAAGGCCCTGGCGCTGGCGCTGCTCTCCTCTGTTTCGACTCTGACGACGCCCGTCCACTCGAATCTTCGACTTCGACTTGGACTCGGGCTCAGGCTCAGACCCCGTCGCAGTCCCAGTCTCAGTTTCATTCTCAAGTCCGGTTTTTCAGGGGAACGACGTAGAGCGCGTACCGCTTCGCGCTATTTTCAGTGGCAGTTTTTAGTGTGTTTCCCCCTTTAGACAAATATCTCTCGAGAGTGTATTTATGAGACAAAACAACAACAATAAGAAACCCAAAAATAAAGGAGAAATTAATAAACACAAAATTATTTCCACTTAGAAAACAAAAAGAGGAAAAATAGCCGTCGGCTAAGTGAAAATTGTGTGAGAAAATTAACAATTTAAGAAGAAATATCCACGTTAGATCCACGAATTCCAAGTGCAGTGAACGATTACGATTCAGTGTAAGTTCTTTAAAAGATAACACTTTCCCATAGAACAGCATCCCCCCATCACAGATTTACATAGTTCCCCTTCTCCATTTAGAAACTAAAATGAAAGTGAGTTGAGAGTATTGCCGCCCATTCTATGATCTGATTTCGAAAACATTCTCTCCTCTGTAGCGCGTCTTAAAAAATCATACCTCCTTATCGCACAGCCGAATGCTCGGAGATCGTTAAAATTTATGTGCTGCTTGAGGAACCGAATAGAACAGAACAGATCTGAACAGAGCAGAGCAGAACAGATCTGAGCTGCGCAGCGAGCTGATAAGCAAATGATTATTCCTCAGAAATATGCATCGGAAATCTATATTGTGCTGAATGTTGTGCTCCCCATTCAGCAGGGGAGGCAGCTATCGCTAGCTAGCTGGTAGCTACCCCTGGCCGGGGGCTTTCCCATCTTATCTGCTGCTATTGATTTTCAGATTTTCTTTCCCAAGTGCCTCGAAATTAATAACTTTTGTCGAAAGAGTTGGCAGAGAGCAGAGAGAGAGCGAGAGCGCTGGCACAGCGAAATCATGTTCGAGTGATTAAATTAATTAATGATATAGACACTGCGCAATAGTGTCCACGCAACCGAAGGCCGCAGAAGGAGGATCTACCGTCTGCGGTTGCGTCTGCCGCCTGTAGTCTGTGGGTCCTGCAGCGAGCAACGCCACATGATGCGGATCGGTGGATAGTTGCATCGGTAGATCGGTGGATCGGTGGATCGGTGGATTGGTGGAGAGGCAAGCAGATCGTTGTCTTAACTTGTCGTACACGATGTCTTATACGTGTAGCAACAATTTATTTCGCTGTCCAATGCATCGATCCAAACGAAATCGATGATCATGGCAGCACTTGGGTCTGCGTTTGGTTTTGGTCTCGGTCTGGCTCTTAGGTTCTTCTACTATCCTTGGCGATCAATCAAGCGCTGCTAGAAGATGATCAATATTAGCCGGTCTAAAAATAATATGAGCCCTGGACTATCTTTATCGTTGATTGAGAAAAGCTGCAAGGAGCAGTCGAGTTGATTGTGGCAGCTGAAATTTGAGATTCATTTAAAAAACTGATAAAAGCGAACTTTATTCGCCATTGTTTTGGTTTTTATATTCATCAAAATTGAATGTATATAATCATCTATAGTATATAAAAACTGATAATTCCTGTATACATACCGTAGTATGAGTCAGTGCTGACAGATTTTTCAGATCTATTTGGTTTCGTAGAGTCCCGGTGGTGTCTGAAAATCGCATTCGGTTTGCCTTTTTGGGTTGGTTACGATTTTACGACTTGTGTAATTAGTTTTTCTTTCGAAGATCTTTTATGGTGCTAACAGACGTCTATCCAACTCTCTCTTTGCACTATTTTATGTCCCAAAAACAAGAAGATGCCATTAAAAATTGGAGTAACTGTTGTCTTTTTTACCCACTAATATGTGTGTCCAAAGTGCTAATTGAAGGCAACTCCGCCGCTGACTCTGGCTCCAACTCTATGCGACGGCAACTCTCACAGCAGCCAGTCGGCCAGAGGCTGCTGCTGCCTCTTCATTCGAGTCAAGGGTTAAAGTTCTCTAAGTTTTGTGTGTGATTTTGTTAATAGTCAAGCAAAAGATGGTAATGGAGATGGAGATACAGATGAATCTACAGACGGGGCTGTGGCTGTGGCTGTGGTTGTGGTTGCTGCTGTTGCTGACTGACGACAAGTGCCTACACCTCTTTCGAGTAAACTGTCAAAGTGTAGACTCTGTTGCCCAACCATGTTTACAGCCTTCGATGTTGAATTAATTAAACTAACTCTGGGAGGGACTACCTCTGTTTCATAGGGGCCCCCAAATGACTGACAAGCAGCTGCCTGGGGGGAGAATGGTGTGGGAATGCACCTCAATTTGTCCAGCTTTGAAATTGGTCAGTGTAACCTGAGGACAATGACTTGGACCGGCTTTGCCACAAGCACAAGAAAAGGACATAATTGCTGCCATAGATTCTTGGCGGGAGTTGAAAGGTTGCAGCCACAGAAAAGACCTTCGCAGGGACTTGAGCCACAGAGGAGCCGAACCCTACGAAGGAGCCACACGATGTGTGTGTGTCGCTTGGAAATGCAATGTTCACTAATCTATTTCAATTCCATAGTCATCTCATTTGGCAAACATTTTAATTTCCTCCTGCAGCTCATGCAGCTCCAGTTGGGGGTCAGAGATGTTCTAAAGCTTCCGGGCGCTCGCCCATTCCCCATCTCCATCCACATTGTTCGTCTCTGTCTATTGATTGGAATATTCATTGAATAGTTTTTAAGCTGATTTATATGCTATTGTGGGAGCTTGTGTGTTTTGTGTGTGTGTGTGTGAGGCTGCTGTCCATTTAATAAATATTTAATTTCAACTCTGCCTGTCTGACTCCTGCTTCTGCTCCTGCTGCTGCTGCTCCTGCCACTGCAGATGGCTCTTAAATCCACACATAAAAGATTCAATCAACAGAAACGGGAAGTCAGGGGAGTCCGAGCAGCAGCCGAAGCTGGATGATGATGTTGCTGGTGCCTTCATTCAGGTATTAATAATAATAACGAACAGCGAATGGATTATTCTGAGCTGCTGAGACATCGTAATTTGCAAAATGTGCAATCGCTTCCTATAAATCAAGGCAAGAGACACAGAGGCAGGGAGGGAGAGAGAGAGGGCACATCCCTAGAGCCACAAGAGCTCGCTGCGGAAATCTATTCAGATCCCATCATGTAGTGGGAGGGGCGCTGAGCCTGCAAGCCCGAGCGCTGAATGCCAAAGTATATATATTTCACCTGGCCGAATCATAAAAGTTCTTTTGTCAGTCTCCATCGCCTTGTGCACCCAATAGAAAAACCCAAAAGAGAGCTGCAGCGACGTCAACTGCTATCAATCTCAGGTGAAATGGAGCTGCGTCCGTCCGCCAGCCATTAGATGATCCGAAACCCAGGCACAGTCACAGCATACCCTGCTCCAGCCAAGCCGTGCCATGCCATCCAATCCCAGGCCGTTGCAGGCCAGCCGCTCAAAGGAAAGCGCCCGTCGCAATAGATCGCACATTGCAGATAGAGGCGTGCCTGCCACTCCAACTCTACTGCATCGTGAAGAGTGCAGTACATAGCGAAGAAATGAATACACTATGGAAGATTGGATGCAGAATTTCGTGGGTAAATGACTCCTAGTGTGAAGTTCCTTATCTTAAAGATAGAAGAACTTGGGTACTGATTGAAGAGAACACCTTTCAGTAGTTAAAATCAGCAATCAAACATTGAGAACTCAGGCTCACAAGAAGTCCCATGATACCCCAACGATTGTAGGGCATACAAAAGGCAAAGCCAAACAATGCGCTGCAATTTCTGGCCACAAAGGATGAACGCAGCGCGTATGCGGAGCAGTGTGGAGTCGGATCGGAGTCGGCACCGAGTAGAGTCGCGGACAGAGCTGACTGGGAGCTGCGGTTGGAGCGACTGATGCTGGAGTCGCACATTCGGCGAGCGCCTTCAGCAGTTGTTATAAATTATAGTGCCGCATGCGGAATGAATGCCCAAGATCAAACCGGTGGGCACACACGCGCACGCGGGCGGGCGGGTGCTCGGATGGCAGGGCCGATTGGGCGGTTGGGCGGCTATAAAAACAAGCCTCCGCCCCCGCACGTAGCCAGTTCTGGTTGTGGCTCGTTGCCTGTTGCGCTGCCAGTGCCACAAAATATTTAACAGTGTACCGCTATAAAATTTGGTATTCCAAGACGGGACCAAGATGCCGCCACAGCCGCTGTCTTTGCTCTGGCGGTGCAGTGGTGCAGCGGTGCAGTGGTGCAGCGGTGCAGTGGTTGTGCTGCCATTACCATTACCACGTTGTAGGCATGTTGTAAATGCCAGCCGATTGCTGTGGACTTTTGTCGTTTCTTGCTGTTGTTTGTGGCAGTTGCTCTCGGCGTGTGTGTTTGTGTGTCTTTTGGCCATAAAAACAGAAATGAGCCCACAGAAAACATGGCGAATTGCGCTAGCAGAAATTCCCCACTGTCGGCGCATCAGACAGCCCCACCACAGCGGATAATTCTTGGCTCTAATTCTCGTGGAATGTGTGTTAAATGTACGCAAAATGTGTACTTAAATCATCCAGAATACAGCAAGAAAGTTCTAATAAAGATATTGCACTGACAAATATCCGCAATATCGACAGATTCGACATGCACGTTCATGCATGTTTACTCACATACACATACAGAAACAAATGACAGCAAGTTTCACAGAAATCAACAGCAGATAAAGGGTTAATTTTGCAGCTCGGAATAGTGGGCTCGTAAAAGTCAAACAAGTTTAACGCAGAGTAAGTCAGACATTGGATTCTTTTTTTTTTCGCAAATGCAAAGCCTCGCACGTTGACTGGCAGAGTTTATTTGATGAGCGAGAGGGCACAGGCAACTGGAGGCGAAACTGCAGCACAGCCCACGCGGTGCCGGAGGAGAGGACAAACAAAGTGCCGCAGTTGTCAAGCGGCGCAGAGGCACCGTAAACAGAAACAACTACTCGTACTCGTACTACTACAGAAAGAGACCCGTCTCCTTCTCCTTCTCTTTCTCCTTCTCTTGCTTTGGCTCTGGCTCTGTGCTATGCTAATTACTGGACATGACGGCAGCGCAACGATTTTGGAATCGCAGGCAGGCCCCAATCCCATCCCATCCATGTGAACAAAAGGCGCAAACGTTTACGCACACTCCGAGTCGCAGTCGCAGTACCGTCTCGCATTTGCATTTGCATAAGCAGCCATAAAAAACGAAATAGGGAAAAACGAGCAACCGGAGGAGGAGGTAGTCGGAGGCAACTTAGCAGATACTACACGACAGCCGAACAGCCAAACCGCCGATCCGGGAACTCTGTTATGTACGACTCAGTGAGAATTCCCCCCTACTTAGGAGTCTTGTCTCTTTGGTGTGAAGAGAAATTTCCTATTTGGTGGAATCTTTGAAATATTGGTATGTGAAACTAAAGGAACGTTAAATAGTTCATATACATGTTCTGACTGTTGTAACTGCTAACCCTGTGATATGGGAACCAATCAGAAATCATTGAGGAAACATCTTATCTCGCTTTTATCCTCAGAGTTCTTTTCTTCATACACTTTCTGATACTCCGTCAAATGATTGACAGCAAAGTGGTTCCAGTTATTTCTCTGAAAATCTAATTGAATGCGGCGATGACAGTACGTGTATAATGAAGCCCACTATATGGGAGCCGGCATCATTAATCATTAACTGGATGAAATGGAATTATGCGAAGAAAGAAGCGGAGAAGTGGCAGCAGAATGGAATTGCTGATTTGAAAACATCGAACCGCAGGGAGCACGACGAGCAGCAATTCTAATTAGAGCTATTCAACGGCTCTCCCAACTTCAGACTGCTGGATGAAGTACACTGGCATCTTCCGCTGAATGGAGTGGAGTCTGGTCTAGACCCAGAAAAAAGTAATACAACACGACAAAACATGGGCACAAAAATGTCAACTTCCATTCGGTTTGTTTCTTTTGGCTGATTTTGGCATCCCAAAACGTTGTAACCGCCAGAGAGGAACACGAATCTGAGCGGGGACCACGGTCTAGAGCTCCATCCCTCTGTCGATGTAAACTTTCGTTTTTCGCTGTGACCATTTTTGGGGACACCGAGAAGGGGGTGATGTGATGGCCCACAGACTCACGATATTTGCGTGCCAGAGCGAAATTGTGTGGAAGTCAATTGGCAGTCACGTTCAGTTGCCCTGGACCTGGACCTGGTCCACAGTCAAACTTCCTCTCCATTCGGGCCAAATTAAATTGTCAGTGCAGTGCAGGAGAAGCCATTGGCAATGACTGTGGCTTCGGCTGTGGTTGTAGCTGTAGCTGCAGGAAGAATTCGATTCATAGAGTTATCTTTCGATTAACAAACGATTGAAATTAATTTTCCAATATTTCCGCATCCCCCCGTCGACATTTTATGGCCATGAAATGTGTGGAAGACAATGACAACTGCAACAACTGCCACAATTGTAGTCACAATTGCAGACACAGCAGCAGCAGCAGCGGCAGCCACAGCCACTGACAGCAACAACAGCAACTGGAGGAGGACCAAGCGAAAATCACGAACCCGGAAGAGGGCTTTAACGTCGAAGGAGGCTTCAGTTTTACCCAGATCCAACTGTCTCCCGCTCCCTGTACCTTCTCTGTGTCACATGTTGCCGTTGTTGCTGTTGCTGTTGCTGGCTGCTTGTTGCTGTTGCTGTTGCCGTTTGCCGGGGCTTTACTGCCAGCAATTTCTTCATTTGGGCCGCCCACCGAAGCCGAAATTTCTGCTGAAGATCAGCACAGAACCGGTCGTCATTGTTGCTGTTATCATACCCTTATAAAGGGTGTTTTATCTCTGGCCAAGAGCTTTGCGCGGAACCTTTCAGAACTAGATTGCGAGAGATTGGCTCTTTGGCCAACAAAATGAGGAGTTGGCTGCTAAAATTGTACAGAAACTTGACCACTATTGCCAGTTTAATTGCTGAAAGATGTCTTGGATCCCTTTGCAGTATCGAATTCTCTATTAAAATCCTTTCAAATTATACCAAAATCGCTTCCTACATCACGTGGAAAGAGCATTCAAAGCTTTGGCTTGTACAATCTTGACTTCATTTCTTGTTTTCGTGCTGAAATTTGTTCGCGCTTGTTGACAATTGTGTCGTGTAAGGGCTGCCCTCGACGGCCAGAAGAATTTGAAATGTGCAGCAAGCGTGTTGCAGCCAGAAATGGACTGCAAACCGAAACGGCGGAGACAAAGACCGCGGACATGGACACTTTAGAGTCGAGTGCCAACGGCAGCCAAACGATGGACTCCAGGGTGTAAATTACATTACAAGGAGAGCGAGCCGAGAGGCCGAGGCGAGTTTCTTTGACTGCAAGTGTCCGTCTCTGTCCGTTCAAAGTGGAAGCTGCTGCAGCCAGTTGCTGCCGTTGCCAAAGCACTGTTGCACTCGTCAAAATTGCCATCAATCATTCTGCCGCTGCCGCTGCCGCTGCTGCTGTTGTGCCTGTTGCTGGCTTCAAGAATGCCGGACAAGTAGAAAAGTGGAACCTGTTTGGCCAGGCACTGGCTATCAGTGTTAAGTCTACAAGATCATTTTCCCTACAAACCCATAATTTGTGATTGTTACACGGCTCGTAGCAAACCGAACCAAACCGAACCGTAACGAGGTCCGAAACCCAGTCGTTCTCTTAATAGACTCGTCGCCAGCCTAATGAATTGAAACGTTTCTGATGGCCTTGTTGGCCACGTCCACGTCGCCGGCTGCCATCGATCACTGTGGAGACTGCACTTTGGTTCTGTTCTCTTCCCTCGGCAATACATTTATTTATTCTCTTCGCTGACAGACCGCAGGAATAAGCACCTCCAGTCAATCAGGTTTTTGGGCCTATCAATTGGAGGGAATCTCGCACGAAGTGACTGACTGACTGGCAAGACCGCCCGTAAAGCCAGCGTCAACGAATAGTTTTAAGTCTTTTGATTAGTAATCAGTAGGGAAACTCGGTCATCCGCAGCTTCACCTATATACTAGTCTTTATATAGTGATCTCCTTTGAGATCCGCTGACTCCACAAACCATTTATAGTCTCGTTCTCCTTTGGCTCCGGTTCGTGGAGATGTCTTTGGCTGTGCCTGTGCCTATGCCTTTGCCTGCGCCTATCGCCAACTGTCATCATTTTCAAATTATTTCTCGTTGAATATCTAATCAAGATTCATGCATGATCGCGGCTAAATTGCTTCCAGGCAAGACCAAGACACATAGACGGCCGCAGCATAACAATTGCCAGAGACGCGGACCCTGAACCTGGTCTGGTCCTGGCTTTATATTTTGTTTTGGTTTTAGTTCTGGTCCAGGGCCTTGGCAGTTCAGCATCCACCAGCGAACGTGCAGCGCATTTGTGCAGAGGAGGCGCTCGCTTCTCCAGCGTTTTTGGTTGTTTGATTTTTCCACCAACTTTTCCATTGTTTTCCGCCCCGAGCAGGTTAATAGTGTTGTTTGCTGGCTGGGGATATAAAAAGCCTTTTTGGGCTAGCAGTAAGCCAACGACGAATTCTGCATCTGAAATTAGCTCTGACAATTGTTTGAGACAGCTTTTCGCCCATGTAATCGCTTATGTCTCTCGTCTGTTGTTGATTCAGTCATACTCGTACCCCTGCTCGTACTCGTACTCGTATATGGGCATACTTGAACTTTAGCTTGACTTTATTTTTCTTAATTGAAACTAGCCAGTGTCTGTAGGTAAATAATTCAATTACACACGAGGCACTGACTCAGCTCGAGTCAGATGCGCCTTTTCCATGCACCATTCCATGCCATACCCAATGCAGTTGCACCACAGGGTGCTTCTCTCTGGCTGTCCAAGTATTATTAAATTATATGAAATTCGTTGTTCATTTGGTGGTTAATTCGCTGTCGTTGCCACTTAATTGTTATTAACTTGTGTGTGACATCTGTGACTTCTGCCAACGCCGCTCCACAACGTGTTTGTGCCTCAATTGACGCCCATGTGGGGTGCTGAGGCTGATGCCATATCACTCGTAAATTGATGACCCAAAATGGCCTTCTAATTGTTTTATTAGATTTCCACAGGCCACGAGTCGCTCGCTGTTTTATGCCTGCTGCAATCCCTTTTTGGGGCAACGCCTCTGCCTCGGCCGAAGAACCAATTTCAGGCAGTCCATTGTTGCGCTCGCCAGCAGGAAGGGAAGAGGAAATCGAATCAGCAGATATACAAACACTCAGCCGCAGGGCCCCAGACTTTTGACATTTTTATTTGTGTGCCAGAGAACTTGTAAAATTTACGAGCCAACGGCGGGAGGAAGGAAGGCGATCGAGGAAGGATTGCAGTTACCAGTAACCATATTTTTTAGCACCACCGCATGAAATTATTATCAAACATGCAAATCTTCTCCTCCTGCGCTGGGCATCGTGTGGTTGCGGGCATCGTAAATTGATTTTTATGCTGCTTCTGTTGTAGCCCCTGCCTACTCGCCACTCCCTGATAGTTGTAGGAGTCAGTCCGTTCTTTCTTCCCATTGGGCTCTAAGTCAAAATATTCAGTTTCACATCATTTCATTCTACACTCTGTTCTGCCTTCCGTTTCAGTCGCCTGCTACTTGTCTTGTTGAAGACAAACGCCACGCCGCTACGTAATTGAAATTGAAGCCCGACAAAAGCTCGGGAGGAACAGGAGAGAGAGAGAGACAGCTAAGCCAGAATGGTTCTAGTGCTGAATGGCGTGCTGCAGGATGATTGCCCGATGGACACCAACAGCCTGTTCCTGCAGCATCCCGTCTACAGAGATTATGCCCAGCAGTTGCACTCGATACAGGCCAAGTCCGTGGGACCCGTGGGTCTGCTCTATGTCGGGCAGCGGGAGCTGGCCGCCTCTGCCCCGCACGACAAGAACGTCAACATCATTGGCGCCGACGATGCCACCACCTGTATTATTGTTGTCGTGAGGCACTCTGGTATGTGGCACCCATAAATTGGCTTCGTTTGGCTCGTTAACCCTGCTTACCTTGTCATCTGGCCCTTACGCATCTCTTTCCCTTGCAGGATCTGGGGCCGTGGCTTTGGCCCACTTTGATGGAAGCGGTGTGGACGAGGCTGTCTGCACCATGGTCTCTCGGGTGCAAGAGCTGGCACTGGGCTATCCCGAAGGACGCATCGAGTTGCAGTTGATTGGTGGCTATCGAGACTCAAAGGGCTACGGCGAGGATGTTTTCTATAGCATTATGCGTGAGTGTGAGTGGCAGCGGCAGGTGGCAGGCTCTAATGGAAATCTCCTTCCAGAATCATTCCACAATCATCACCTCGAGATCGATTTGACGCAGGCCTGTGTGGGCGAGCTGAACACCATGCTGCGCGGCGAGATCAACTGCCCCATCATATATGGTGTGGGTGTGAACATCAAGACTGGTGAGATCTTTCCGGCCAGCTTCCCAGACCGAGGCCCCGACCGTGAGCTGCGCGATGCTCGCATCTTCATGGGTGCGCAGTCGGTAAGCGATTCAAATCGAAATGCGAATCCCCACGCAGTTGTCACCTGACCAACGCAACACTCTTCACTCTCTGGCATTTCAGGTTCTGGATGTGTACGACTCCACGCTGGGAATGCTGCGCATTGGGCCCTTCAACTATGATCCGCTGCGCGGCGCCGACTTGTGGCTATCGCAGACGGATGAGTTTCTGCTGCAGCATTTGTCCTCCAGCCCCGATGTGGAGCCGCCACATTTTGCGCCCCAGGTGCGTGCTTGCGTGTGTTGTGTCCCCCCGCTGGGAGTGAGTCGATCTAATTGCTTTGCTCGTTTCAGACGCGTGCCACCATCAAATTCATACAGGAGAACCAGTTTCCCGCTGTCACCGTCTTCAGGGACAATAGGCCGCGCTACTTTCGGCGCGATGACGCCACGGGGTGCTGGGCTCTGGTTAGATATTAAAGCTTAATTTAGTGTTTAGTTGTTACACAAGTAAATAGTTGAAGCGCGTCATGGACAGTTGTCGCAGATGTCGAATGTATAAAATTGGTGCATGTGTTTAATCGTCGTTACCATTTTGCAGTGCTGCCACCCCACCACCTGCTACACCTGCTACCCTTCGCATATAATTTCCACCTAATTGTGGCTGCTGCGCTTACTTTTGTTTGAATTTAAACGTTGAGTTAATTGTATTTGGCTGTAATTGTAACCGATATAGATAATCCATGCAGCATCACCCAATTATTTATGGCTCAATTAGAGTAGCAATTGCGATGAATGGAGTGCCGACATTGCTTGTTGTATCTCAAATAATCTCTCTCTTCAATTAGATTCAAGAGTGAGTTCGGATGTGAGGACCCTTTGGGACGCGCCTTAGAAATGGATCTGAACGTAAAAACGAACAATTAATAAATGATAATGTGTGCTGCATATGCTGCAATTATCACATCTTATTAATATCTAAAAGAGATTCTTAGCAAAATATATACACAACATATGTAAACAAAACAATTTCAAATGCAATCATTTTTAGTTGTAACTGTAAACTGTAATCAAAAGTGTACGAAATATAGAAATGGCTTGGCTATACATACATAAACTACGAAAGTGAATGATTGGTTTTAATTGAACAAATTGGAATTAAAGCTGGGAAAATTGATAGCTTTCCCGAATTCGAATGCAAACTGCATACGCATATTTTGAAAATGATGAAATAGAGAATATACATTCGGTTTATTGCTGATGGTAAAACGTAATATTGATAAATACGGGCATATCAATGATCAATCGGATAAAATTATAGTTTGAGTGGCACGAGTCTTAATTTGCTATCAATATCAGACGGAATATCAAAATCGAGAAAAATGGGTTGAGAATTTTCGTTACATTCATTTAATACCCTTGAATGGAAGGATAGCCTCGAATTGAGGATTTATTGTAAATTTCAGGCTCAAATCAATGAAAAACCAAGTGAATTTGTGTTGGCGGGCCATCTCAACGAAATGTTGCAGATTATAGATTTTGAGAATGAATTAATATCAATTATGTAAGTATAAATCCATAGAAAATATATAAAACGGCTACAAAAATGTCCGTCTAAGAATGGGTCGTTATATATGTTTAAAATCAGCGGGGAAAATGGAATTTTGTGTAACAATGTATAATTGAAAGATGTATTTATAATAAGCCAAATTGATTCTTAAATCGGATTAAATTATTGTCAAAGTGATACAAGTCTTTGAAAGTTGGTAATGTCATACAGAACATCAAAATCAAGGAATATGATTTAAGACTGCGGTATCTACGGTATATTTTCAAAATGAGATGGTATATTTTGGTCTATTTTAGAGGGTCCGACGGAATATCTATCGATAAGTCCGCGGTCACACTGGCGGTCGGTCGTCGTTGTCAAGTGGAAAAGTTGGTTGTAATTTTTTGTGATTTAAAAAAATTCTATTTCGCGTTGATTAATTGCTTTTTCTAATGATATAACTACAACGAATCACACTTAACATAGTTTGTGCTTGCTAAGCAGGCATTTAGCGAGGACTAAAAGAAATTCAAAAGACTGAAACCATTCAATCGCTGCACCTGCACCACAGACGGGACGGGTGTGCATCGCGATTTCTAATCACTAGCAAGAGACTTTCTTCCACAATAAGCAGCCAGAAGAGCGCCAGCGCCCGCAAAGCAACAGTTACCGCAGCCATACATATACAGACGTGTGCCTTGCCACTTTTAAACCCTGAACGCCGTCCAATTAAATAACCAGAGCACAGAATCGCCATTGACTTGCGATATTAACTTTCCACGATTGTGAGAGGGGGGTTGGAGAGGCACCTCTGGCCACCTGGCTGGCGGGCGACATAGGGAAGGGCGTTATTTCATAGTTTCGCTTTGGACAACGACGACGACAAGACGTAAGTTTGGAATTATTTAATTACCGTTTCATTGTTTTTTGCGCGTATTGCCGAAAAATTTGCAACCGACACATTCACAAGGGCCCACACACACAGTTAGGTTTTAGAGCTGCCAAGCTGTGCCGAACTCATAATAACGGTGCAATTTTTGCGTGTTTTCTCTATGAACAGCAATTTTTCTATATTATCTGTGTGTGTGTTTGGCATATTAGCAAATTCTTTAGCCCAGCTGCATTCTTTATCGTTTTCAGCGAACAGAAGCAACAGGCGACACCATGAATGGACAGCCACATATTGGCGGAGGCAGCACCTCGAAATTAAATCTACACATTACGCATCTCGATCACGTTGGCCCCTATCTGAAGGTCTATGGCCAGATCAACCGCGATGCTGCATTGCTGATCACCAAGCGCATTGAGCATGTGCTGGCTACATGCTTTGCCATTGAGCCCACATGGTCCATCGAGCGGGAGCAGGCTCTGCTCACCCCCGGCACAGTGTGTGTGTTCAAGCAGACAAACGGGGCCGCTCCCGGGGACACTGAGTACATGCGAGCGCGTGTGATGAGCGCCACTCTGGATGGAAACAAGCGTATGCGCGTCGAAATAGAGTATCTCGATTACGGCTTCAAACGAACTGTGAGCAGCCACGACGTGAGTACCATCGATCGACTAGCAGCCACGCTTTGAGTAGAATAATTAACGCGCATTACTCCACTTCCAGTTAATGTTCCTCAAGCAGCCGAAGCTTCTTCAGAACATTCCCGTTCTCTGCTCACAGTACATTGTCCTCGGCATATGCGCCGAATGGGACAAAAACGACCTGGAGACAGTGCATAAATTGATTGTCAACCAGACCGTCCAGCTTACCATCGATCCAGCCCAGATCTGTGGCCAGTCCTTTGCCAGCGTACGCTGGAAGGACTTTGATTTGACTGAGTTTCTGGTGCAACAGAAACAAATCGGGGCTCCGGTGTCCACTCAACTGATGCTCGATCACTGCAAGAAGCTGTGGAAGGATTCTCCGCAGTCGCCAGTTTTGGAGTACAACAACAACATTATAAGTCCGAACAGCGCCTTAAAAACACCCACGGATTTGGCACGTGAGCAGCTGGCTGCTCGACGTTCCCTGGCTGCCCGCCTCGAGATGCAACGCGTCGTTCCCGCGACCACCTCGAGTGTGTTGAATCCAGCCGCCCCTGACTACGCTCCCAAGCAGCAGCAGCAGCAACCTTTAGCTAATTTGGTACGACTCGCAATATGATTCCCGCCAAAAACAATCTGAAGATATTTAACACCTTTGTTATCTTTGCAGACAAATGTGATACCACCTCAAGCCCTGGTCAATACTCAAAAGCACAACTATGAGGCGACCAATCCCTTTAACGTGCCCAGAGCCGACCCCAAGCAACAGGTCTATAACTACTACAATGTGCGCATGAACAAGCCTGCGCCCAAGGTCCCAAGCATGCAACCGTTTATGCCGTTGCCTCACGCGATGGCTGGTTACGCCCCGATGGCATATGCGCCGGCACGCTTCACACCACCACCGCAATCGGCGAGCGTACAGCGGCCAGCAATACAGCAACGCACCATTCCGGCCTTCAGGACCACCAGCCTGACACTGGGACTGACCTATGACGTTCACGTGAGCTACGTCGAGAACGGGCCGCACCTGTTCTGGGTGCAGCTAAAGACCGCCGCCAAAGAACTGGATGCCATGATGGAGCAGATTGAACGAATGCGACTGCAGCCACTCCCCCAGGCACCGGAGGTGGGATCTGCCTGCGTGGCCCGCTTCTCTCAGGATGGCAATTTCTATCGTGCCTTGGTGAGCTCCATCAAGGATCAGCGTTTCCGGGTTGTCTACGTGGACTACGGAAACTCGGAAGTGCTGCCATCGAAAGATGTCTACCAAATACCCGCGGAGCTGTTGCAGATCAAGCCTTTTGCCTTCCGCTTTGCCCTGGCCGGCATCAAGGAGATCGAACCCATTGACGAAAGCATGAAGCAAATCTTCAAGAATTCGGCTCTGTATACTGACTTCCAACTGACGGTGCAGCCGCCAGAGAGTGTTGGCTCCATGCAGACCTGTCATCTCAGCTTTAGAGTGAGTCGGATCGAAAGAGTTATTCGAATGAATCACAACTAATGAGCGGGATTATCAATTTCAGGGCAACAATATACTGGCGGAGCTGAAGCAGCAGAAGAACTCGCTGCAGGAATACCAAAAGGCTGACCATTTGTTGAACGATGACGAGGTGGAGATTCGCTACATTGACTCGCCCAGCAATTTCTACGTGCAGAGGGTGGCCAACATAGGGGAGTTTCAAGTGCTGATGGATAACATGTTTACGTACTACAACATTAACCAGAAGGTGCCCGAAAAACTAACGCTGGGTGCCCCCTGTATCGTGAAATGTGATCAGGAGTGGTATCGTGCTGAGATCCTGCGTGTCGATGATTCTGTGATTGTGAGGCACGTGGACTTTGGCTACGAGCAGACGGTGAAGCGCCATCTGATCGGAAACATTGCCAAGGAGCATCTGAAGATGCCGCGCCAGGCCATCAAGTGCTGCCTGAAGGGCTTCGAGCGCAGCGAGCTGGGCCAGGATAAAATCACCGACCAGTTCGAAATGCTGGCCGAAGAGTCAAACATCCGACGTCGAACCTTTAATGTGCGCGTCTTTCGCATCGAGCCCGACGGCCTGAATGTTGTTAATCTTCTCGCCAAGAACCTGAACGTCATGAAGAAGCTCTACAAGCTGTCCATGCCCTTTGACAAGTACCTTTCGCTGGAGAAGGGCCAATTCACTGGCAACAACACGCGAGCCGAGTCTGTTGTCTCCTCCGAATTAGACAAGGATTTAATTCTCAACTCCACCAGCATCGTTGAGAGCGAGGATCGCGAACACCAAGATCAGCAGCAACAGCCACCGCCGCAGCAACTGCAACAGCAGCAAACAATCCGTGGCAAGGCCTCTAGTGATTGGGACAAGCGCAGCTCAGCGTCAGGCAACTCAAGGGATAGCAAGCATCCCCAGCAGCTGCAGAAAATCGATCGTAACCTGGACTCCAGCTTTGACAGCCAGAGCATTGGCAGCTACAACAGTGGCAGCAGTTCGCCCCGCAAGAGCAGCCGACAGAATGGACGCAGTCAAGCCCAGTCGCCGCGGCTGATGAATGGAAATCAAGAGGCAAAGAAAAACACGTGAGTAGAACATTTCATTACTCGTCGCAACATTAAATAATGCATTGCATCTTTTTCAGACGCTTCAGCAACAGTCAGTCGCCGCGCAAGGAGCCACAGCAGCAGTCTCAGTCTCAGCAGCAGCGTAATCAGCCAAATCAGCGTTCACAGAATGCTCCTCAGGGCTTTGCCCAAAAACCTCAACGACAAAAATCCACTTTGGATGGCGGCAGCATAGCTTCCAAGCGCTCCAGCGGCGTGGAGAGTGATGCGGGCTCAGCCAACGAATTGGCAGTTGCTGCCAAACCTGAAAAGTATGTCTCCCTGGACAGGCCATACTCCCTGCAGGAAATGAAAACCACTGGAAAGGAGGCCGCCAGCTTGTCCTGGTGGGTATCGCCCTTCCAGTTTTATATTGTGCCAAAATCTTCTTCAGCCAAATACGATGGTTTGCTGCGCGAAATGAGACAATTCTATCGCCAAAAGCCCCACCAGCAACTCCAGCTGAAGGTCGGCTCGACGGTGGTGGTGCGCCAGCGCAAGAACAATGCGATTCTTCGGGCCACGGTCAACGCCTGCAATCACATGATGCGCAAGTATCGCGTCTTCTGCGTGGACACGGGCAGCCTGATCACTGTCACTTCCGAGGATGTGTGGCAGCTGGAGCAGCGCTTCGCCGATGCCCCCTGTCTGGCCCATCGCTGCAGCTTCCACAGCGTGGTAACCAACTACGACCAATTGTACATTGTGGATCACATGGAGAAGTTTGTGCCGGTCAATGCCAGAGTCGAGTGCGAGTTCCTCGCCAAACAGCCGATCAGCAACACAAACAGCAGCTGCTCCTACACGGTCAACGTGTTTGTGAACGGAGCTTCGCTCAGGGATACGCTGGTCAAGGAGAAGTTCCTCACCGAAGTGCCGCCAGGTTGGTCCTTACTTCTATTTTACGTTTGATTACTGAAACCTAATTATTCTATGCTCTTCCAGAGGTGCGTGTGAGTCTGCTGGCTGGTCAGCAGGTACGCGGAAAGTTTACATCCGTTCGGGATATGACCAACTTCAAGATACAGCTGGACTACTGCCACGATGTGAGCTTCCTGTGCAGCTACGATGATGCCAAATTCGTCAAGTCAAACCCAGATATGGCCAGGCGATTCAAGGAGTACTACGAAGGCAAATCATATGCCTTTAATGTGAAGCACGTCTGTGAGAACAACATGTAAGTGGCGGTCGATCAATTCTCCAGTCAGACTCTTACATTCGCTTCTACCTATATTTCTCTGCAGTATTTACCTTCGTCCCGTAATGCCGCTATTCAAGGAGGATCGCAAATCCTTCGTCTGCAGCTATCCCGTGGTTCTGAGCAACTTCAAGGCCCTCGCCGTCTACGCCGCCAAGCCATACCGCGTGTTTGTACAGCCCCTGGCAATCGAATCAACGATGCAGACTCTGCTCGATGACATGTATGAGTTCTACGAGGCCAAAGGTAAGTTATCCCCACAAGGAAACACAAACATAATCCCGCAACTTGGACACTTTTTCTCCAGGTGACTCGCTAAACAAGTACAAACCGGGACAGATCTGTGCAGCCCGGGGATCGGATAGCAACTGGTACAGAGCACGTGTCGTCGCCAACGATCCGAATGCACGACGCATCGAGGTGTTTTACATAGATTACGGCAACACGGAGGAGCTGAATCGCCAGGATATCAAGGCACTCGACAACAGGTTCTATGCGAACTCCAGTGGATTTGCTGTAGAGGTTAATTTACCCGTGGGACGACCCAGCAATGAGGGAAAACTAAAGAGCCGTCTCGCCGAGCTGCTGGAGGAGAAGATGGTGACCATCCAGCCAATTGAGGTTCGACGTAATCACCTCATTGCCGATATCATCATGGCTGACAATCAGAGCGTGGCGGAGCGACTGAAGGCGGAAAAACTGGTGGCCTCCCATCTGGACTTGGACTACATGCGCAAGCAGTTGGATAAGGGCAAGAGTCCCACTTATGAGTACATAGAGACCGTGGACTTGACCATGGATGATGAGGAGGACAAGCGCAGCAAGGAGAGCAGCAGCAGCAAGTCCAGCTCGACAAATGCCTCGCCAAAGGCCAAAAAGCCACAGAACGAAAAGGAGTCGGCAAGGAAGATTAAGCCGGTGGAGCCAACTCCAATTCCTGTGGCACCAATTGTAGCAGAACCAAAGCCTGTATCTCCTGCGCCAATGCCAGTATCTAAGCCAACCTCCCCGGAACCGGCTCCCTCTGTGGTCCAACCAGAGGAGGAGCCAGCCATTGCAGCGGTGCAGGACGAGGAGCCACCACAGCCAGCTGCTGAGCCTGAGGAGGACCCCTACCAGGGTATGGAAACAGTTGTACTCAGCCATTGCGACAATCCGGCCCACTTCTTTGTGCACCCCGTCGATCAACTGGATAAGCTGAATCGAATGCAGGAGAACCTGCAGATTGTGTCACCCTCGCTGCCACCGCTGGAGAATGTCGTCGATGGAGCCGATTGCGTTTCTCTGTATTCCGTGGACAAGTGTTGGTATCGCGCCAAGATAATTGATGCCGAGCTAATGGTCCTGCAGTTCATTGACTTTGGGAACACGGATTGTGTCTCGGATACCACGGACATCAAACAGAGCATGTTTGGTCACATGGATCCCTTCTGTCTGCCCTGTGCCCTGCCCATCGGCCCCAAGAGCACACTCGACTGGGTTGATGCTGCGAATGGCATCTTCAACGAGTCGTACACCAAGATACTGCGCTACGAGTATCTCACCCATGGAGACCACAAAACGATCAGCTATGTCCAGCTGTACATCGAGGGCGAGAACGTGGCCAAGAAGCTGATTGCCGACGGCTACGCCAAGCCCCTGGAGTATGTGGCCAGCGGCTGTACCTGCTACATCTCGCACGTGAATAGTATCTGCGACTTCTACATCCAGCTGGAGCGCGACTCCAAGGCCCTGGAGCTGATCGAGATGTATTTGCGAGACAACGAAAAGACCCTCGAACCCTTGGAGCGCTTCGAGAAGGGCAGCATCGTCGCAGCTCTCTTCGAGGACGATGAGTTGTGGTATCGAGCAGAGCTGCTCAATCAGTTACCCGACTCCCGCTACGAAGTGCTGTTCATTGACTACGGCAACACCTCGACCACCGCCAAGTGCCTGAAGGTCTCCGAGGAGATCGCCAAGCTGCCCAGCCTCTCCAAGAAGTGTTCGCTGCAGCTGCCCGAGACGCACACCGGCTGGTCCCAAGAGGCTGAAGCCAAGTTTGCCGAGCTCACTGGCGAGGGGGAGCTGGTCTTCACCACGCAGCTGCTGAAGCCAGGCGCAGATCATGTCACCATCCATCTGATGCTCGATGAGGAGAACATCATTGACCGTCTACTGCCGCTGTGCCCGCAAAAGGAGCCCAAGGCAGCCACCAGCAAGGAACCGCTGGCAGAAGCTAGTGCTGGTTCCGCTGCCATCACCAAAGCCACCATCACCCAAGTGGAAAGTGCTTCCCAAATATATTTGCAGTTTGCTGAGAAGAATGCCCTGGCAGACAGCATTTGTGCCAAACTTAAAGAGGGAAAATTGCAATCAAAGAAGAACGAGGGACATGTGGATGATCTGTGCGTGGTTAAGTGTGAAGATGATGGCGACTTCTATCGCGCACGAGTCCTGGAGCTGCTGAACGGCAAATATCGTGTCATTCTGGTCGACTTCGGCTTGGTACTAGAGGTCGACACGCTGTACGAGACGCCCGATGAGTTTGTGACTATTCCACCACTGGCTGAGCCTTACAGTCTCCAGCCATGCGTTGATTTTGAAAAGAACAAATCCCTGACCATAGAATCCCTGAACGATCTCTTGGAGAGCTGCGATGGCATTGTGTTCGCAGAGATTCTCGACAAGACAGCAAGTCCGCCTATAGTCCGACTGTCTATCAAAGCCAAGAACGGCCTGGACATATTTGAGCAGCTGCAGAAGCTCGTGGAGGCGAAGCTGAAGCGCATCGAGAAGGAGAACGAGAATTCCGAGTGCGTCATTTCTCACGGCACCTCTCCAAGGAGCTTCTACGTTCAGTTGAAGCGAAACTCTCCCGTTTTAGATCTGGTTATGAAGACGTTGCAGGGCCTAAAAAAGGAGCAACTGGAGCGGTTTGATCTGGATGCTGCTGCTGCGGCGAAGGGGGCAGTGGTCTCAATGACCTACTCGGAGGAGGATTCCTGCTACTACCGCTGCGTGATTAAATCGGTACTGAAAGAAAATGACTTTATTGTGTTCCTCGTTGACTATGGCACTACCATGCGAGCCACGGAGATCTTCCAGCTTCCCCGGGAGGTGGATAATGTGCCACCACTGGCCCTGCACTGCCAGCTGAGTGAGATACCAGCGGATGTGCCCGATACCAAGCTGGAGGAGGCATTCGCCGCCCTGCTGGAGCAACACTTTGGCGAGGTCTACGAGATAACCATGCAGCCGAACGAAGACGCAACGAAGCCCCATTTGGTCAAGCTGCGCATCAACTACAAGGACTTTGCCCAGGAGCTGGCCAGCACAGTGGCAGGCGTCCAGAAACCCCTCCAGGTGGAGCTGCACAACTGTGTTGTCGTCCAGTACGACGATCCCACTTCATTCTACGTGCAAATGGAGGTGGACGTGCCGGTGCTGGAGCAGATGACCGACAAGCTGCTCGACGCCGAAAAAGAGCTGCCCGTCTTCACTGACCTGACAGTTGGAGCCGTGTGCGTGGCCCAGTTCCCCGAGGACGAGGTATTCTACCGTGCCCAGATCGTCAAGGTCCTCGACGAGGGAAAGTGCGAGGTGCACTTTATCGACTTTGGCAACAATGCGGTCACAGACAAGTTCCGCCAGCTGCCCGAGGAGCTGGCCAAGCCGCCACGCTACAGCAAGCACTGCGAGCTGGAGAGCGCCACCATTGCCAAGTGCAATGTGGCCGATCTGCAGAGCTTCATCGACACGCGCTTTTCCGAGACATTCCAGGTGGAGATTCTGGCCACCAAGGGCGCCGACAGCTGCACCCACGTCGTGCGGCTGTTCTACCAGAGCACCAGCATCAGCGAGAAGCTGCGTCTGCAGGAGAGTCAGTGAGCCCCCTGTCGGGTAGGAGAGCAATATATTGATTCGTTTTGGCTGCAGCATCCGATGCAATGAAATGTATTGTATTAACTAATTTAGATGAACGAGTCAAACTTATTCAAGTAGAGGAAGAGCTCACGATATTGTTTAGCCAAAAAGCTTCATTGATTTTTCATGGAAAACCAAGATGAATGCTAATTTTGTTTCAATTATTCAATGAATCAACCAAAACACACACATACGAAAGTTAAAAAAAAAAAAAAGAAAACGAACAAAAAAAAAAACGAAAAAACCACTCAAAAAATGTATAAAAAACAAACGAAAAATATTTTGAAAAAAAACGAAAAAAATTTGATATTTAGAAAAAATGTAAACTAACCAAGGAATGTTTAAATGCAGATTTAAGTTTACATTGCTCAACCTTTTGTAAGAAACATTTTACATTATCAACGAAAGGAGAATTGTAGTGGAGTGGAGCAGGGAGAGGAGAAGAAGCTTTATCCCCTGAGAATTATTTATTGTTTTCCTTTAAAACTCAAGTCTAACCGCAACATGTGGGACTTTACTTTATTCTTTACTCAATTAACCAACTGAAAAAACGCCAGACCTAATTTCCAAATAATGCTTTTGGTTTCTCCTTTTCATCTATTATATTTTTTAAACGAAAACATCATGAAATTTGAAGACTAAAAAAGCTACTGGTAAGCAGAGTAAAACAAAACAAAACAAAACAAAAAGTATAACTAATGGAATGTGGGTTTATGTATTAAAACCTTTAATCACATGTCATATTTTTCTACCATTTCTTTTTCATGTTGTAAGCAAAAAGATTAAAAGCAAGCAAATAAATCGCGATTGAAAGCAATCCATTAACTGTGCATTTCTTACCTGCGCTGATGGCAGGTAGCAACTGGCGGGTTTGCAGGGGTTATAGTTCTAGCATATAGGATGGGTAGATTTGTGGTTCCATGGAAATGCATTCGTGGAATATCAGTGCGTTTCTCACATGTCCGATCATGCGGCCAAGACATCAGCCTGTCGAAGGGAGTCGCGCCTCGATAAGAACGGAATTAAGGTGTCCGTCTGCACCCATTTATGACATGGATTAAGCTCTCATTTTCGTTATCATTCATCAAGATATGTACCTAGTACATTAGGGGTTTACAAATGTGACTTATTCATACTATTTCCTACTGTCCAACGTGGATGCTTCATTAAGGAAGGGGTCGGGTCGGTACCTCCTCCCGTTTTAGCGATGCGATTAGCGTTTAATTGCTAATTGGATGAGTGGCGGGCCAAAACCACAAATATGTATCAACAGAATATACAACAATATCAAGCTGTCAAGACCCCCAAAACAATTCAATCTACATCGTTATCAGAAAACGCATTCAGCGAGCGAGCGAGCGAGCGAGCGAGCGAGAGAGAGATCCGCTCTCTTGAGTTTACACTTTGAGTTTTTCCCTTGCATTACGGAACGGTCGGTCTACGTGGTTGTCTCTGTGTGCGTGCTTTATCAGAGTTTTCGCTGTGGCTCGTGTGCTCGTCTCGTCCCGCCGTACGGGCACATAACGGATCGGTTCGGATCGGATCGGATCGGTTTGGTTCGGAGCGAGCGATCTCTGCGCTGCGTTCGTTTCAATTCCATGTCTGCGGTTGAATTGAACGGTTCCGGTTGACTCTGCTGCTCCGTAACGGTCGCTATATAAATTTATTCTCACTCTCTTGTCACCACGTAAATAATATCATATTTTGTGCTAATTGAAAATCACAACAAATTAATCGAAACGAAATCTGTACAACACACAATAACTGATTATACGGCAATGAGTGAAGTGAAACAATGATCCTGCTCAGGGATTAAATGGGATTATACTGCCTCAACATTTGGATTACCTAAACTTGTAAGAAAAGTTAGAGCCACCCAGACCAAGGGTTATCTTCTACTACTTCTAGAGCCACTACATAATAGTATTCCTCTCTCGTGGATTGCACAACAGCTGCGCCAGGCACTTGGGGTACTCGTACATTAGATTTTCTAATCAGGAAACTTAGCATTGACACAGCAATGCCGAGCAGACCCGGCTCTGCTTGCTGCTTTCTGCTTTCTGCTTTTGTTGACTTGCACGAGGAGAGTAGTAGCATAATTCCATAGAGCCGCAGTTAAATTGGTTTCAATTAGGTGGAGAATAAGCAGATTAAGCTGGGGAGGGTTCCGACTTCAAACAGAAAGAAATGTTCTAGAGGGAACGAACAGTGAGACTGTTTATACAGTCATTAACTCTCTGTAAGCGCAACGACCAAAAACACCTGCTTATCAACAAGAACAAGGGGGAGACTAATCTTTACAATCAGTGTTCTAGAAAAAGAAAGAAGTGGCATATGAGTTGATGAACCTGATACATATACACATTCAACTTCTGTAAAAAGTAATGAATCTACGAATGAGACAATGTGTTCCAGGAACTTCAATATACCTGCCAACAAACAAGCAAGCCCCCCTTTAGCCAAAAGTAATACGATCTTTGGCTTTGGCACACCGAAACCCCACTCAATATGTGTTGCATAGGGCTCCACTCCACTTTCAATAAGCGATGGATCGGAATGGACTGTTTTGTTTCTGTTCGTATCGTTATTTTCCGTCTCGGGGAATGTTTTCTTGATTGCATTTAATTGAAATAAATGAACAACGTTCTTTTTTTATTGCTCCACCATTATGGTTGCTGTTGTTGTTGGTGCCATTTCAATGAAGTATTTTTTTGTTCTTGGCATCGCTGTTATAATTTCGGAAAGACCTTTACAGACAAGAGCCAAGAGCCGAGATAAGGGCAACACTTGACGTGCACCGATAAGATTCACTTTTCATTTCGCCCCCTACAATTGTTACTCAATGCTCTTTCCGGGGAATGGAAGAGGTAACCGAGACAGTTTTAGTACTCCGGACATGCCACAAATTCGAGTGATGTTTCATCACAGAATCAGGGAAAAGTCCAAACAAATAAATCTTTATCGCTGGCCTGAGAAATGAGAATAAATCTTCGCCCCTCCTTCGCACACACACACCTGTTGAGGGGAGCAAGGCGGCGCCCTGCAGAGAGATATAGAAGCATCTGAACAGATATATCTGTAGATACACCATTTACATATGTATCATCGTGAAACGCCCACAATGTGTGACAGGGACGATCAGAAGAGCACATAAATCCATTCACAAATGTTTAGAATGTTATTAAAATATTTGAAACTAATTTTGAGTTTTTTCGTGCCGCCCATTTTTTACGGGGGGATTCTCGGTTTCGTGTAGCCTGTCGTTATCCCCATAATCGCTTGGGCATCGCTCGAGGCAGATAAATAATTTTCCATTTTCATATTTATCATACGAGCAACGGGGTGGAAGGGGCGGCGGACAGGCTGCAATCCGTTGGCCGACAGTTGTTTGGAGGTGGAAGTTGCCTTGGACCAATCCAATACAATCCAATCCGTTCCGATCCGATTCAATACGTAACCCATTTCTGCCACCCCATTCGCATTTCCTATTGTTTCGTCTGCTCTATGGCAGCAGCCCCTTGATTGAGCCTAATATATAAATAAATATGGGAACAAATGCGACCAAAGTGGAAAGCATAAATTCTGACCCCACCACCTTATGGCAACGGTAGCCTTAGGGCTAGGCATTGACTCGGGACAGACCTAGAGTGGAGTGGAGTGGATCTCCATTTGCTGCCCCTGGATCAATGTTGGCATTAGCCCTTTTTATGGCCAATTCTTTTGAATTTGATTTCGATGCGGAGCTCCACCCCACAAGAATGTGATATTAAAAACCGACACGGAAAAGTACGGGGCATAAAAGTTGTTCGATTTGAATCCGTCCCATTCCAGTGCTTGTGCCATAAGTTTGCAGTTGGCTCCCACTGTTTATATCTGTATCGTCTTCCCCCTGGCCGCTTCTGCTGTTGTATCTTTTGGGGCTTCTTTCTGCTTAATTTTAATTTAAATATATGAAATATATTTATAGCCATTGTTGCGGTTGCTGTCAGTCCCAAAAAAAGTGTGGAAATAGCTTCAATATTTTGTTTGGTTCATATTTTCGTCTGCTTCGTTTTGGCAATTCGACGGGCTCTAATGACAGAGGTACCCCCCACACTGACCCACCCTCCCACAGTCGCGCACTGGGTGGGAAAAGTGTGCCGCGGCTTCAAATGGCTTCAAAGCAACAGACTTTCGGCCAGCACTGTGCGGACGCATATTGCTCTCAAGTGGAGCTAAGGAATTTTTGGTCAAAGGCCAAACCAAGTCATCAAACAAAAAATGGGGAAAAATTGGAAATCATGGGGGAATTATGACTATCTGGTACTATATGTGGCCCATGAATCATGGCCGTTGACTGGTGAACACCCTTAGTATGAGCCAACTGATTCTTACTAACTTTAAAATTGATTGGCCCAGACCTCGGCCTCCTGAATGGTGAAAACACTCCGATCTTATCGGCCAGATGGGGCTTTGTGGGCTTACTTCTGCCACTTGGACAGGCCTTAGGTGATTTGCCAATATGAATGGCAGCAAACATGGTCATTCATCATTTATTGGCCTGAGCAAACAGAAGGCTTCCCGTGAGGGCTTTTTTATGGTTTTTGCACACGTTGACAGACTACTCCCAAGTTCAGCTGAAGCAGCGCATTTAGCCCGAATGTCACAAGGCGCCGCCTTCCGACCCTCACCGCAGCCTGAGCCACTGCTAAATTACAATACTCAAGACATTACTCATCAGGCTCGGATATCATTTAAAGTTTTCACAAAGTAAATCACGCAACTGCAAGTGATACGGGGTCTGATGGACGGATGAATGGATGGAGTCTCGGGGTCCGAAACGTGCGATTTTCCAAGTGCATTTCAATGGGGCGTGACAGAGGCATCCACAATGGGCCAATGCTCAACTCCGAGTGGGTTTACATGCCCAGATCATATCAAGATATATACATTATACTTATAGCCGTAGTTTTGGGCATACATCACGCTATGGCGATGTTCTGTTCTGGCCATTAATCAATTATTGTTTGCCACTTTTCCTTTTGGCAAATTGAAGGCAAGTGCCTCGGATCGGTTCGCTGGTTGTGTGATGTTGTTTCCGACACATTATGGCCTGGGCATAAAAGAATTCTAATGGAATATATATACATATATATGATTTATAGTTACCCTTCTTCTGTTTGATGTTGAATTAAAAGATATATACACTAGACACCCCAGTGATAAGATACAAGAAAACAGACACCGCTGTGCACGTTTCGTAGACTCTTTGCAGCTCTGATGTATCTATGGCCCTGTGAGTCAGTTCTAATTTTGGTTTGGCTAACATGATTACAGCTTTCAGCTGCTTCCGCCGCCAAATGCGGAATCATCTTTTGTCCCAGCTGCGATCGAGCATTAAATGCAGGCCCCGAAACGACACTGATTGCAGGCCTGGCCATGGCGTATACGTAATACGAGTATGCACATCACACATACGGCGGGGGGACAAACAGCTGACCTACGCTTCAGATCTGTGCTTTGTTCTGCTGTGACTGTGGGTGGGTTTACCAGGTGCGGGAGATGCGCTTGATTGAATGCTTTCAGTTCCCCCCAACCAAACGAAACTAATCCAAATCCAAAGAAAAAAGCAACCCAGACCCAGACCCACAGTGCGGCAATGATCTTGTAATTCGTTAATTCGAAAATAAACGTTTTGACGCGCCCATGTCCATGTCCAAATGTTTGTTCGTTTTCGCATTGAGTTTAGTTTACTATTTTAGTTTCAATCAACAAAATAAACAAGTTAGCGCCAAGATTTATGAATGGAATGGGTAGTGGCCCAATGGCCCGTGCGGGGGAGGCTGGGATGTGAGCTTTTTTTGATAGCTCCAGTTCCGATCGGTCCGTTCTATATACAATACAAAGGTTCTTCCTTTTTCAGAGCATGGAACTGCACTGCCTGCTGCCCCTGATCGTCTGCCTTTACAGCCTGCGGGCCCTGCCCCTGCCAGCCACTGGATTCGTCATACAGGATGACGAGCGGAAATGCAAGTACGCACGGATTGAGAAGCTGCTGCGGATCCGTTGCTACGACATGGACCTCAAAGAGGTACCACAGAACCTCAAGACCTCGGTGGAGGTGAGTAACGCAACAGTCGGGGGTCTCGGGGGTCAATCGGGCTGCGATCCGTAACTTAATTCGTCATCGACCTCGCTTCGGTCCCCCGCCCATTTAGCCTCAATTGAGCTTAATTAAAGCATAAAGAAGTTGGGACTGCACAAACATAAGTACATACATATATTATACGTAGCATATGTATCTATGGGAACATCCCTAGTTTCAGTTCCACATTCAAAAGCAAAAGCATTCGAGTGTCATTAAATGATTTGGCAATTTGTGTAGGTTCTGGATCTATCGTACAATCGCATCAGGAAGCTGAAAAGTGGCTCGTTCCAGAGGTACACAGACATCAGGTTTCTGATGCTCTATGAGAATATGATCTTATCGGTGGAGCCGGGCACCTTCGAGCCGCTCACCTCGCTCCAGGTAACACCGCCATCCAATTAATCACCGAAACGCCATTACCACCGATATCTCCTATATATCTATCACACAGGAAGTGGATCTATCGAATAATGGCCTGACCACGATTCCCATGGAGCTGTTTACACTGCCCAAGCTGAGAAATCTTTACATAGACAGCAACGAACTGACACATTTGGGCCTGGAGACGCTGCAGAAGCCCATCGCGGCTCCCCTGGAGTATCTGAACGTGGCCAATTGTGAGCTGCAAGACCTCCCCGATCTGGGCGTGCTGCCAAGTGAGTCAATCAGTCACCCCCTAAGGCAATGTCTAACTAATTGTTGTGCTCCCTGCAGAACTTTGGCAGCTCAACGCCTCGATGAACCCTTTGACCAACTTCCACATCGACAGCCTGGCCAACTTGTGCCATCTGCGGGTCATAGATCTGGCCAAGACGCAGCTCAGTCCGTGCAGCTGCCAGCAAGTCACCAATCATATCATGATGCTCGGCGCCAATCCAAAGTTCGTCCCCGTTTGCATGGGTAAGGCGATGCAGTGGCAGTCGCAGCTGCAGCTGCTAATTTTGGCACATGACCAACTTCTAGTTCACATTTCCATTTCAAAATTTCCCACTTTGCATTTTCAGAGGCGCTCAACATAGACTCGTGTCCACTGCCCTACAATCGGACGATACACTCGGAGACATTCCGCACTTGCCTCTCGACTGTGGAACTGGCCGTGTCGCGTAGCCTGTGGCTCTTTGCGGCCGGCTGCTTTGGCGGCGTCTGTTTCGTGCTACTGAGTGAGTAGATAGGGGAGAGTATCTCGAGTGAATCTCATTCTAATGTCATCATCTTCTTTCTTACCATCAGTTGTTATGTGGTGCGTGAGCAGGTGGCGCAAAAAACGGGCCAAGCGACGGATGAGCCAGGCCCAAAAGCGAAAGCCTTTCGTGATCTCGCCCAGAAATGCCATTAACCGTCAGCCGGAGGACGAGCCTCTTCACTGTGATACTGCCAGACCTTAGCGGAATAGTTTATTAGTTAATTAGCTAGTTTTAGTGGCCAGTTATTTATTACACCTAGCTTTTAGTGTAGCCATAGGACGGTAGACAACAGACTACTCATCGAATTGCCATGTACCACTTACCAAAAAACACCAAAACACACACACAAAACTACAAGAAATGCCTTGCTCAAATGCCACCGAAGTAGTTTCTAGCTTTTATTATATTATAGAACATTTAAGTTTTCAAAAGAAGCGATATTTATAACAAACAAAAATACCAGTGTTGCGAATGTGTTTTTCTTTTCGAATCTACTCAGCGCCACCTGTCGCATTTTCTGGCAGCTGACCTAAAGCTCCGCCTGGCGTGGTTCGGTGGAAGCACTTCTTCTATCGAAAACAGGGTCGATACAATGTTGAAGGGCTGCATTTGAAAAACATCAACTCATCAGCTGATTGTGATTTGAAATGTGCGCTGGTAAAGCTGGTAAAGCAAAATTTTAATATTAATTTTAGCAAATAGGGTACACAAGTGCCCATACCATATTATACTATCTGTTGGCCAGCAACAAATTGCCTACCCACGTAACTTAATGCTATTTTTTTGGTTGACCTTTTCAGCTTTAACCTATTTATGCATTCAATCCAAAGAGATAAGTCATGAAAATCAGACAATCTTGTGGATAGTTTAATGATAATTTGAGTAAAATTACATTTTTAAAGATGAGAGTCCTAACCAGCTGGTAATATCAAACAGAAGATCAAAGTCGAGAAAAATTATTAAAGATATACGGTATATTTACAGTATATTATATTTTATAATCTATTTCGATAGAGCTTCGAGGGTCTGTCGGTATGTTTTATCGATAATTCTGCGGTCACACTGATCTCGGAGCAAGTGAAATGCAAAATAAACGTTTCCCCTCCCCCACCAATCACACAAACCCATACACACACACACCTATGCGAAGAGATCTCCCGCCGGCTTTTGCGGTTACTTCTGCCTGCCGTCGACTGCGTCCCCGTTTTCATCACTACATGGCATTTATTGCCCACCGCAGCCCCACGGCCAATTCATTCTCTCGCCATCGCTAGCCCCAAACGGAACGCAGACGCTCCCCCTAGTTCGACTCTGACACTCGCTCTCGGCCGCCGTGTGAAAGCTTAACGGGCACGCCCCACCCACTCCCGTACAGAAATAAAAAGGACCCGCCGTCGCGTGTGCTTTAATTAAACGAACTTAAACAAAAAGAAAACCTAACAAAATGAGCAGTAAGTTTTTAAATGCACTACTCCCCCGCAACCGTTGATTCGGACGTAGAGTGCAGCAGCCAGCAGCAAAAAGCAAATGCGAAAAATGAAAAGAAAGTGTGTGTGTGTGTGCGTGTGTGTTAGATTTTATATGCATGGCATGGCTCCAGCTCCAAACTCCAAGTTCAGAAGGAACCTGCCCCAAGTGGAAGCTCCTTGCTCTTCCCTGCCACTCGTTTATATTAATTCTACAAACTACAGTTAAGCCTCGCCTCGCTGCAACTCTCACATTTCATATCATTTCGCTTGAAAGATAAGAACGTGTGCATAATCGTGTTTCATATTTTTCGTAGAGTATAAAGAAGCAGCAGCAGCAGCTCTATGCGAGTTTTCTGCTGGCTAGTAAACTGCGGCGACGACGACCTTTACTGACCTTCAATAGCAAGCATTTGCCTACCTACCTACCTACCCGCAGACTCTGTCCCTCTCGCGCTCCTACGCTGTGCAGAGCATTTCGATTCGTATTTCAAAAAGCGCACTAAAACCTCAATTTGTTTGTTTATAAAAAGTATGCGAATTGGTGCCTTAGGCAAAGCTGCTGACAACTGATAAGCGTTATGGGCATGGGGAGGTAGAAACTACCGCAAAGCCGCTGAGTGAACGAGAGAGAGAGAAACCAGGAGAGAGAAGCGCTTGACAGTTATGCTTAGAGCTGCTGCTGCTGCTAATCGGTGATTTGTTGTGACTTGATTGTCGCCGCATATTGATTTTTTGTTGCTCCACTTTTCGCTTTTCTGCTCTCTGCTCTTCTGACCCAGTAGCGCCAGGCATCGTCAAATCAGCATTATTAGTGTGATTTCCGCATCCCCTCCACACAGAAATCAAAATCCAAATCCCATTCAGATTATTGGGATGGGGATGCAATCTCCTTGGCATTTTCACACGCATTCGCTTACGTACGCTGATCATGTTTGAAGATGCACTAAACACACTATATATACACATGATCCCACAAGTTTATACATGATATATATAAATTATAGATGTTTTTCTATTTATAACGCCGTTATATGTATCGCTCGGAATTATGGCTGGCGACAGGCGCTAACAACTTTTTGTGCGCCCGAAAATATCTATATGTAATTCTCGAAAAGTCTTTCCACACGAGAACGAAAAATTCCTTGTCTCGGAGCAAAAGAACGCCCACTATTGGCTTCTGTCTGGGTTATACGTTGTACACGTACAATTCTTCCACAATCCATAAAATCTGCATGAGTTTATGCCCGCATTTATCATCAGTCTCTGCAGCTGTGTTTGTCTGAGGTTTTCGCCCATGGGGGATATAATAGGGATCGATCTCCAGCGGCAGGCAGCCACCGCGGAGGCGCCTGTGCCACTGCATCGCCTACCCGCAGATGCCGCAGAGCCAGAAGAAGATGACTATGTTGCTGTTGCTGTTCTGTTGTTGTCGCGCTACAATTTCATTTCATTTCATTTCACATTTACCCGGCTATTTTTAGTGGTCTGCTCTTTCGGCACACAGATACACACATCTAGCAGATACACACAGCATCCATGTGTTCCCGCAGAACTTGTTTCTCGCCTTGCACTCGCCAATTTGTGCGTTGGTGTCGCCTCGCCGGTCGCCCATTCCTCATTCTTCGTTCCCCATTGCTCCCCACTGCACCCAATGTGGCATTTTCGTGGATTGGCAAACGGGTTTCGAGGCTGCGATGTGTGGGCATGGGCATGGGCGGAGCAGGTCTGGGCCACTCAAGGTCTCGGGTCTGTCATTCATTTAATTTCCGACACCATTCATGGACGAGCCTTGCGCTTATCTGACAGATGATACACCCTATCATGCCCCAATGAGCACTCGTTCAACCCAGACCCCAACCACCCCCTAAACAAACCCGCACTCACAGGGCGACCTATTACTCTCTCGCTTTTGACTGGGTCGTTTATCAGCTTTATTGTGCTACAGGTATACTTACTACGCGCATGATAAAAGAGAGCGGTTTATGTTTTGAAGAGAGCGTGAGCTTTCGGCCAGAGCGAAGCTTAAGCTTTCTACACTGGAAACATTTTGTAGGAATTTCCCACAATTAGCTGTCAAACAGCGTGCTAATTTATCCATTTCTAAGTTTAAGTTTAAGCATATTTTTAAGGAAAATGTCGCGTCGCCATTCCGTTTGACATGTTTCAACAGTCTGAACAGTTGTGGAGGTCTAAAATTAGACCAAGTGTTGTTTGTTTTATTTTATTTAAGTCGCCCGATTTATGTGGCAGAGTGAAATTCCTTTTGATCGTTATTGTCTTGTGAATCTTTTTGCCATTGTGATCTCTTTTTTGTGTGTTGGTCACATCCGGTAAGTCAGAAGTTATTAAAAACCATTCTCGTTTCGGCCCAGAGTAAATGATTTCATTTTTATTTTAGGCACTGCGAATCATGAGAAAAGAAAGCATAAAGCCCACACTCTTACACATATACACACACACATACACACTCCACACACAAATCCATCAGTTGTATATAGAAGAGGATATAGATGGAGAGGGGCAGGCAGCATTCTCGAAATGAAGCTCATCATCAGCTGCAGCTGCAAAGCCTCTGTTAAAGCATCTGCATCCTCATCCGTGTCCGTAGCAGCGAGAAGGTAGTTGTTGTAATCCATCCACTTGTTGTATTCCAATGCTTCCCACGCTTCTAAAACCAATGTAAACAGAACTCTCTAATCAGACATTTAACCCCACTAAAGTTAGTCCCATAAAATGTACAAAGAAATGTACAACAAAAATGTACATACATATATCAACAAACTATCTCTGATTTTGTAGCAATAATGTTCGAAATTCAACTTGTCAATAATCGAAATTGGAAATAAAACTTTAATTAATTGGTATCTCTATTTTAACTCTAATGAATTTTTAATTTTCAATACAACAAGAATGCATGGATTAATTGATATTAATTTTAACACGATTTCTGGAGGATAACCAGAAGAAATGGAAGGGATTCCAACAAAGTATACATCGTTGGGGAACGAATAATCCGTAACTAACCAAATCGGAAGAGATCAACCAGTTGATCAACCCCACAAACAATCTGTACACATTTATGGAAGATCTAACCCCGTAAAGACTAATTCCCCATCAAATCAGGAAGGGAATGTATCTATGAAACCGCATATTTGCCAGCACCGTACCCCAAACTCATGTACATATATCTCGGAGATAAATTATCACATTCTATCTATAGCTTTCGCCCAACTAAATGCCAACTACGCAAAATTCTAATTGCCCGTCCAACGATGCCGGTGCCGATGCCGATGCCGATGCCGATGCGCCTGAAATATGTTCTGCTCGATTTTCCCCAATTCTTTATGATTTTCTCGTTGCTTCTTTACTTTTTATTATACGCTTTGCAGTTGTTGCCTCTCTCTAACAAAAGCAAAAGAAAATTCGCTGCATGTGGGAGCCGCGTGCCCCCGCCCACTGTTGACGCAGTTTGGGACTCGCAGACATCGGCAGACACCAAATTTGTATGGGATCTCTGTGCTTTTCCATATGGCACAAGAATTCTTGTTTATTTATAACCCATAACGTGGATGCTCTCCGTTTTTTTCATAATTCGCAAAATTCGAAATAAATAAACCCTTAGAAAAAAAGCTGCTGCTCTGAAACGTGCATTGTAACTGCAATTGTGGCTGTAACTGTACCACACACCACTCCCGGATGTCCGTTGCTAAAACATTTATATTCGATTCGATTCCTTTTGCTCCACAGAGTTCGCTTGGGTGACGCTGACGACAAATGACACGTACTCACTGGGTGCCCTGGTGCTGGCCCATTCCCTGAAGCGGGCCGGGACCGCTCACCAGCTGGCCGTGCTGGTGACGCCCACAGTGTCGGAGGCGATGCGCATCAGACTGAAGGACGTGTACAATGTTGTACAAGAGGTTAATGTGCTGGACTCACAGGATGCGGCCAACCTGGCCCTGCTCTCGCGCCCAGAGCTGGGCGTGACCTTCACAAAGCTGCACTGCTGGCGCTTGGTGCAGTTCGAGAAGTGTGTCTTCCTCGATGCCGATACCTTGGTAAGTTCTACAGGGCTGACCTCAACTGCAGCTGTTTAACTTATTATTTTCCTTGCAGGTCCTGCAAAATGTCGATGAGCTCTTTGAGCGGGAGGAACTCTCTGCTGCACCCGATGTCAGCTGGCCAGATTGCTTCAACTCCGGCGTGTTCGTGTTCAGACCCAGCCTGGATACCTTCGGCAAGATCACAGAGTTCGCCATAAAGAACGGCAGTTTCGATGGCGGCGACCAGGGTCTGCTGAATCAGTACTTCGCGGACTGGGCGACGGCGGACATCAAGAAGCATTTGCCATTCGTCTACAATGTGACGGCCTATGCCTCCTACTGCTATCTGCCCGCCTTCAAACAGTAAGTCGAACATACCCCTACTGTAGGATCACTGGCTAACCCTCTGCCCTGCCTTCATTCTTCTAGGTTCAGAGATAAGATTAAGATTTTGCATTTCGCCGGCAAGCTGAAGCCCTGGCTGATCCAGTTCAACTCTGAGACGAAGACAGCGGCCGTGTCCTCAGACTATGCCCACGCCCAAGACCTTATCCAGCTCTGGTGGAATATCTTCTGTGATACTGTCATCGAGTCCCTGTCCAGCGAAATGGTAAGTGATCGATATGGACACTCTCTTTATCCTTCTATCTGGATACACCCCGCCGCGCTCGTTCGTTTTCCAGCTTCCTTACTCTTATCTCTTGTTTGAAACGAACCAACTGATAACTAAAACCCAAAGCTAACACCAGAATTTGTATTGTTCTAACCCAATGTATTGCCCCGTCCCCCACTTTGCCTCGTACAATCTCTATTCGCTAACCGCAAGAAAACGCAAGGAACTGTTGCTAGTGATAAGCCCGATGGAGCCCCAGCAGTCGCAGGGTTCAATCCAGAGGTAAGAAGATCTGTAATAGTCGAAAGCACTCTGCACCCACAAGACTCGTAGATATGCAATCTGTAGAGCCTCCCCCCCAAAGAGCACCGATCCATGTGTAAATATCAATTATCTCTCTCTTTATTTATTCTGCCAATATTTATTTATTGATCCCCTCTATCGATTCACAAAGTATTGTAAATAACCCGCCAAATATTTCTCAGATTCGGTTCACTATTCGTATTTGTCTTTTTCTTGCCGATGGCTGACCTCGTTTTCCACTCTCCTCTTTCACCGCTCGTTTCTCCTTTGTTCCACTTTCAAGATCTATCTGTTCTATGTATGTCTTTGCTTTTGTTTTGGGAGGTTTACTTTCGGTTTTCGGATTTTCGATTTTCTGTTGATTTTTATTCAATTAGCAGCCACGCCCCAGAGTAACCTCTTTTTTCTCGGACAGACAGACCACTCGAGTGGGGTTGGCTTTTCACTTATTTGTAGATATATATTTTATATTTTTTGTAATATTTGTCCCACTGTATCTGTGTGTGTGTCTAATTGTCTCGGTGTGGAGCTCTTTTCGTTTTTGTTTTTTCTAATTTGCATCCATTTGGCCGCAAGCCAGGGAAATGTTTCGATGGAAATGATTCAGGGATGTGTGGGTGTGGTGTGGTGTGGTGTTTGGGGGTGCCAGAAATCTCTCTTGAATCATTATAGATCCTCCTATATCCCATCCACACACACACAAGCATACAGACACACACACACACACACACACACACACACAATACTTTCGTTTCACTTTTTCCCTTGTGACTCTGCCTCTGTGTCTGCGTTTCCCTCTTGTCTTTTGTTTTCTTTATTTTGTTTTTGCAAATTGATTTACTTTTCATTTACTTTTATTTTCCAACTCTTACTTTCCTATGTTTTTGCGCATTCTGTTAATTCTGTAAATTGCCATAAATAATACCCGGATCGCTATACTCTACTCTATAAACCCGTATCGTATCTCTAACATCGCATTCGCCAGTGCCTTTGCTTAAATCTAACGCACTCGCAAGGCCCCTCCGTGGCGGAACATCATCCATCGGATGGGCAGCACGAGTACTTCCAGCAGCAGCAGCAGCTGCACCACCTGTTGCACGTGCGCGAATTCCGCGACCCTTGGGCAGATTACTACGAGAATCTGGAGCGGAGGCAAGAGAGCCCAGAGCCGGAGCATGAGGGTCACCACAGCAGCCATGTGCAGGACAATGAGCATGCAAACGATGAGTGGACAGCACCCGATGCATGCCCACAGCCACCGTCACCACCCACCACTCCTCCTCCACCCACTGCCACTGCCACCAATGAAAATGCCAATGCAAATGGCCGCGCAACTGCCGAGGAGCTCACGTCCAAGGATGTGAACTCCAATGAACTGAATGCACACCCAATCCCACCAGAACATGCCACGTCCTCGCCCACAGCCACAGCCACTGCCAAAGCCAAAGCCACGCCCTCGCCTCATCATTCCGTGCATAGTCAGAGAGTAAGAAAGAGTACGATAAAAGCGCAGCCAGAAGTCGCAGCCGGAGTGCAGCCTGAGGTAAAGGCAATCATCAATCTCTCTGACCCCGCACCTGCACCTGCACCTGCACCTGACCATCCAACACCAAATTCCAGACTCCCTGCATCGGATAGTGGTGTCCCAGTGCCTGTCCTAGTGCTAGTGATAATATAATCTCATGGTTTCGTGCTGTCCAGTCACTGTTTTGCATACGAATTGTCATTGTCATTGTGCTGCGTCCTGCTCCACCCATTGTTAGGTGTTCAATGCTTCATGTGGTGGCTGTCCTCCGCCTGGGGTTGAGTGCATCTCTTGATTTATTAGGTTGCACTCGTCCGGGTTGAGAATACACATTGAACACGAACAGCAATTCATACGGCCGCCATTGTCATCATCAGCAGTAAAAGCAGTAGAAGCCATCGCATCCTTGTGTCGCATGCCATCTCCTCCTCTCGTGTCTTCTCCATTCCGTATAGTAATCTACTACAAGGTCGCCCGGACATGTCTTGCAACCGTAAGCAGCAGCAGCAGGAGCCGCACCCGCAATGCATCATGATTTATGCCTCGAGTAGCATTCCGTACTCACATTAATCATACTCCCTGTGTTTTGTACCGTGGCTAACATATCAATGTTGTGTTGCCTGACTAATAAATGTTTAATTTGTAACCGCACACACTGCATGCATGCCTACGCCTGTCCCAGCACCCCCAACAACCCAACCCCCAGCACACCCACTCGCTCCACCAACTAGCAAAGAGCAAATGTCAGAGCAAAGCCCAAATTGACTTTCCATTGCCTACTTTCAGGCTGGTCTGGCTGGAGCCCTGTCGCAGCTGCAGATCGGAGTGCAGCGAACGCCCGAGCAGGAGGCCTACGAGAGTCTGATGCGTCGCCAGTGCTGGGAGTCGGGACAGATCGACTACTCGGGCGCCGACTCGTTCGACAACATCTGGAAGAAGATCTCGCAGACGCTGGACAAGAAGCCGGAGAAGGAGGCCGAGCAAACCGGTAGTTCATCTTAGAAAGAAAAGCAAAAAACAAAACAAAACCTAGAACACGTAGAACAGAACAAAACACAGCAGAACAAACGCAGAAAATCGTTCGTTATTCGTCGTTTTGTTGCCACTTTTTTGTTACGCACACACTCGAACACTCACACAGATACACCCCTCCCAGATACCCACAAAACACACTCTCACACACACTCGAAGAGAGAGAGGCAGCGCCATGGGCAGAGTGCTGTCAATGCTGTCAAGGACCAAAACTCTAATTGAAATTTAAGGTTTCATGAGCACGTTGAAGCGCCCTTCTGGTCCAAAAATGTTGTCGAGCGAATACTTCCGAGTGTCATAAATGCAATTTTTATTTGCCCCCCACCAACACACACACACACACACACACATGCCCATCCACTGACACACTCATGCACGCTCCGCGTGGCAGCAGGCAGGCCATCTTGTTGAGAAAAGAGAGGCGAAAAAAATGAAAAATACGCACAGAAAATTTTAATTAAGTTTTCAAATTAAACTTTTTGCACTCACTCGTGTGGCTGGCTGCTGCTCTCGACAGCAGCCATGTGGCACTTGGCACAGTTGCCACCACCACTGGCACTGGCTCTCTGCCCCCTTCTTCTACTCACATAAATACACGCCCACAAAACTTGGCCCACACCCCCACCGCGCCACAAACTTTACACTTCATTGTATTTTAATTGAAAATGTTGTACTTTTGGCAGTGCTCCGTACTCGTATGCGTACTCGTACGTGAGTGTTTACCAATCTATGGCGATGACTGTTCATCTGCATCCACAAATTCATTGTAGCATAAAGTCCCACCCTCTCCTCTTGTTCCCCCCCCCCCCCCCCTAAACATATGTAGATAGATTTTTGTTTTCATAATAAATAAATATCAAGCAAAAGTGTGTATAAAATAGAAATTTAGAATAAAATAAATCTTCAAAAACTGAACTCCTGTGGCAGTTGTTGTGTCTCTGCCACCCCGTCTGTATTTGCATCTGTGCGTGTGTGTGCGTGAGCCTTACCCCTACCCGAGTGTGTTTTCCTTTTTGCCATGGAATACTAACATATTTTCTATCTATCTACATATTATTCGTATACTCGTACCATTTATGTTATAATTTACTTTGGAATATTGTCGTAATATTTATTCAAGAACCACAAAGAAAAACCAACAACAACAAAAAAAAAACCACAACACAAACACCTTGTGAAATTTTGTGAAATTCTGTTTTTAAATGCGCATTTTTATTTTAGTTCTAAGTTGTTTCCATGCTCAGTCAGTCAGTCAATCAGTCAATCAATCGTTCAATCGGTTCTTTTTCTACATTTGTCACTTTTCAGTTGTTTACTTTTAAGCCTTTGGGAAGTGCACCACTGCACCACATCCATCCATCCATCCATCCATCCATCCATCCATCTACCACAGAATCCTAGCTGTAAGAGCCAGCACCTAAGCAATAGCCATCCATTTATCTGCCACATTCACATCTCACTGTCGCTGTAGATAAATCAAATGCAAATGAGATCGAGAACTGCCGCCCTAACACTAACCACATTTTCCAGATAACGATACTGACACTGATAATGATTGCGATAATGCTAACACACTAAGCTTAAATCAATTGCTAACCGAAACCGCAAGCAAACTGCTGCAGCATCCAACTGTGCCGCAAAGGACATCCGACAAGACTCATGGAAAGCCCAGCTCGAGTACGGGCCTGCAGCCGGTATCGGTGCTGGTGCCTGTGCCGGAGCCTGAGCCTGAGCAATCGCCCCGCCCCAGTCCCCGCACAAAGGCCGCAACTAACAAACTTGCAACTAACGCTGAGAGACCTGCTTCCGGCTCCGTCACCGTCTCCACACAGCATCCCCAGCCACAGATGCGACAGCAGGCACAAGGACAATCCCTGGCCAAGCCCCAGCCGCAACCACAGGCATCAGAGACGTCCAGCCAGCAGCACATCACCTTGCAGCAGCAGCAGACGGGCAGCAGTGGCAAGGCCAGCCGACAGCGGGCGGTGCGTAAGTTTAAATAGCAATTACTGAACCTGCTGATGCACTACAGCTGCCTGCCGCACCTGGCGTGTCGGCCCAGGCGGCTGGAAATGCATTTGGAAACCGAGCCCCAACCCGTGCACGTCTAAAAAACAGGAAACAGAACAACCAAGAGACCCCACCCGAACGTAATACTCCCGCAACGAATGGAAAGAAATCGAAGAGGAATCGAATTGAATGCTGTAAAAATTGCTTACTAATCGCCAGGCTGCCTTGAGTAGGAAACCAATTGCAATATCGTAGACTTACCCGTAGTACAACTTAGTGATAGGAAAACAACTAATAATAGAGATAAGGCCTCAAGTGCTTCGAATACGCAGATGCAGCGAAATTAACCCAACAACAAGATACGATACACACACACGCACACACTCGATGTTAGGTATGAAATGAATGGAATGAATCAATGGTTACGTAGAGACTATACCCAGACACTAGACCACACTCATTAATCCAACCAACAACACAGATCAACTGACTTCCGCGGACATTCAGGATGGTAAGGTGGAGTTCGATAGGGCGACTGGCGCCAGCACCCAGTACAAGCTGATCGAGGGTGGCTACGAGATGATCACCACCACGCCCCAGCCGAATGGCACCGTGAAGACGCAGGTGCGCACCTTCTGGGACCCCAAGCCGGTCAGCCAGGAGGATCTGCTGAAGGAGCAGCAGAACAAGAAGCTCGTCCAGAAGCGGCTGGGCAAGGAGGTGCGCATCGATGAGCGCACCACCATGCTGACCCGCGCCATCGAGGGCGGCTACGAGGAGGTGTACACCACCATCAACGAGGACGGCACCAGGAGCATGCGCACCAAGACCTTCTACGACTCGGTGCCCACGGAGGTGAATGAGAACACCACCACGAAGGTGAACAAGAACAAGAAGAATGTGACGCGCAAGTCGTCGGTTGACTCCACCGATTCCACGGAGTCCTCTCGCCGCGTCGTCCAGAAGCAGCAGAAGAACGTGGTCCAGAACACCAGCGATCAGCAGTCCAACTACCGCGAGGACACCACCATCGAGAGGCGCGTCTCCGTCACTCAGAACATCGAGATCACGGAGAACAATCGCACGGTGCGCAAGAACTCGCTGCAGGAGCAGAACATCAAGGCCATCACCTCCGCCACCTCGTCCAGCGACAAGAAGCAGAAGAAGAAGGCCAAGTCCTCGGCCCCACCACCGCCAGCGGACTTTGTGCAGAATGACAGCACGACCGTGGCCTCCAAGCGCGTGCCCGGCGGTGTGGAGTACACCTACAACACGCAGCTGGAGTCTGGCAAGACGATCACCACGTCGAAGACCGTCTACGAGGAGGAGGAAGTGGAGCTGACCGAGGAGGAGATCAGGCAGTACAAGAAGACGCTCAAGGATGCCGAGAAGCACAAGAACGTGACCTCCACCAAGAAGCTCAAGTCCGAGTCGGGCACCAAGAAGATTGTGCCCTCGGAGAATCCCGGCGATGTCACCACCGTTGAGACCATCAAGATCGAGGGTGGCACCGAGTACCACTACACCACCGTCACCGCTGAGGGCATCGTTAAGAAGGCCGTGAAGACGGTGTTCGATCCCGTGCCCAGTGCTAAAGCCAATCCCGATGATACCGACGAAGAGGAGATTATTGAGGAGTACGAGGAGGAGATCATTGAGCCCGGAGAGAAGAATGTCAGGACCATCGAGACGATCCGTCAGTTGCCCACCAAGTTCGAAGGTACGTCAATCCCTAAGCCCCAACCCTGAGAACATCTCACATTATATTTTATTTGGCAGAGGAAGTGACCATCACCCATGAGAAGAAGGAGAAGAAGGTAAAGAAGTCCATGGTCATAAGCCATTAGAGAACGCGCACAAACACCAACACAAACACAACACGACACTCACCCACACACACACACTCAACACACACAAAGATGCTTCTGTATGATCCCCAATGCAAGGCTGATACGATCGAAGCCCCGACCAGATCCCAAGATCCCAAGATCCCTCGATCCACCAAGCTAATTCTCGTGACATATTTCAGCATCCGGTTCAGTTAGTTGGGAGCGGTCTTTGTACGCTTCTCGCCAGCTTCCTTCTCAATTATTTAGCCAGCCATCTGTTGCCCTAGAAATGTATTATGAAATTATTCAAAATTAACTATTCATTTAATAATTGCAAACACACACACAAAATATCTAACATAATTGTAATCCCCTCTGTTTCTACAAATAAAACAAGTTTTGGTTCCAATTAATTCCGCTTTGCCTTCTTTTTTGGCACGTTCTTCGATTTGGAGCCACGGCACAGGCAGCACAGGGCAAGGATGGGCAGGAGAACGATGGCCAGGGCCAGGGCTACAATGTCCAGGAGGTAGAACTGATACCAGGGCAGCTGCACGCCAGAAGCCACCAAATGTGGAGCTCCGCGGTGTTCGATCACGTACTCGATCCAGTATATGGCCGTGTCCATGGCAGTCTGTGGGCGATCCCGAAAGACCCGCGATGCCTTTTGCATGTTGGTTCTGTACTTGGGATTCTGGAGAAGTTCGGTCAGCGAGAACCGCAGCTCATCCTCTGTAACCGTGCGATAGTCCAAGCCCAGCGCATAGCCAGACTGCTTGCCCTGGTTGATGTTCAGATGCTGATCGCAATAGACGGGCATTCCCAGCATCGGGACACCATTGTAAACGGCTTCCTGCGTGCCAAAGAGGCCGCCGTGGGCGATGAACACCTTGACATTGGGATGCGCCAGTATATCTCCCTGCGGCATCCAATTTTGCACCTTCACATTGGACGGCAGATTGGGCATCGCCTCATCCTCGAACTTCCACAGAACGCGCTGCTTCAGGCTACCGAAGACGTCCAGGAAGATCTTCAGCTTCTCGGGCGGGAGATCGGCACTGCGAACCTGGGAACCTAAGCGCAGATCGAAGTAGAAACATTAGCTTGAGCTGCTGTAAGGAAGGGCACCTTCCACTCACCCAGACTGAAGTAAATGGCTCCTTCGGTGGCGCCATCGAGGAACTCCTGCAGATGCTGTGGCAACGCTTTTGGTGGCTTAATGTGCAGTCCGCCCACGGCAACCATGTTGAAGGAGGTGGGTCTGGTCGTGGACAGCGGCATGTAGTTGTTCAACAGAATGGCGGAGATGTTTCGCTCCAATTCCTTGATGGTCGGAACCCTGTCCAGCAGATGGGAGAAGTGTTTCCTCAGAATTGCATCCTGCTCCGGGTAGTAGGAGAACTCCCTAAGGAGATCGTCGGTGGCAGAGATGATCACGTTCCCGATGCGCTCCAACAGCGACATGCGGTCGGTGTAGGGCATGAAGGCATGGGGCACATAGGACCACGGCGACACAATGCCCGACATCTGACTGAGGTAATTGGCGTACCCAAAGGTCGACACGGTGATGATGGGTATCTGATAGAGATGCCCCAGAATGAGGGCACCCTCGTTATAGAACTGCTCGGCCAGGAGCAGATCATACTTCCCGACTTTGTCCTTGGCGTTCACAAGCTCCTGTATCTGCGGCTGATCGAAAGCAAAGTCTGTGCTGTGGCTTCCCATAACCATCAACAGTCTGACGAATGTCAGATTCGGCACATCGGTCATCTCCAGAATGGTATTGGTTTTGGTAATTTCCTTAACTATAATCAGAAAACACTATACTGTTGTGGGTTCTGCTGTTCAACCAACCTGCCTTCGACTTACTCTCTGGCCAAAAATTGTACTGTGCAATGACAATCTCCTTGTAGTTCGGGCCCAAGTTCTCCTTCGCCAGGGAGAAGGGCGTGATGTAGGTTACCTCGTGTCCGCGCTGTACTAGCTCCCGTACAATGGCGTTCGTCATCATGAAGTGGCTCTTGCCGGGAAAGAAGAAGGCAGCCAGAATGCGGGACCCGGCACCCAGGTCCAGCTGCTGCAGAGCCACCAGAGTGAGCAGCAGAATACATTTCAGTTGCTGGAAAATATCAGTAGAATCGGGTCAATGATTTCTCAATAATTTCTCGTCAAGTTTGCTTGCCAAACGCTTCATTATCTAATCGGTCAGCTGTTTGTTGCTGCAGGTTGATAGCCCTACGATTTTTAATATTTAACTGATAAGAGCAAACTACCTGCTCGACTACCAAATCTTTCCATGGACAAACAGGTTTTTATTGTTGTTTGACAACAGCTTCTCGGTGCTTCCAACAAGATTCATTGACCTTTGTGGTGAAATAGTTAACAAGCAACTTGAAAGATATTTCATTTGTTCTAATCAACAAACCATTTTGAGTTTGCCCGGGCTCTTGGCCGATCACTTCACTGCGCTATCAAAAATCAACAACCGCTTCACTCGACGATTCTCCGACGACTGAGAACGTGTTTTGGATGGACTGGATGGGTAGCTAGGGCCCTCAACATCGTTCTATGATAATTTCACGAGGAATGGGGCGATCGTTAAATGTTAAAAATCGCAATCACCCTTTCGCTAGCATCTTAATCTTCATATGTTCGAGCTGCGTGTCACGAAGACAAGCCCCCACAGAGGCCATCTCTAGGCGAGTTTAGAGGCGAGCGACGATCTCTGTTCGCTCGTGCGGTTTAATTGATGAGAAGCAAACACAACAACTATAATAAATAACATACGAGCACTGCTGGAAACATTTTGTATGTATTTTGTATGTACAAATACTACTCTGGATCAATGGGCCTTGGCTTTCCTGTGCTTCTTGTCGCTGCCCATCAGCAGGCGGATGGCCAGAAGGGCGGCTAACACAGCAGCCAAGGCTATGGCCGCCACAAAAGCAATCACATCCAGCAGATAGAACTGGAACCAGTTGAGATCCAGGCCGGCGGATCGCATGTGCGGTGCTCCCTTGTGGCGTATGACATACTCGATCCAGTAGACGGCATTCTTGCGTGGCGCCTGGGGACGATCCCGAAAAATGCTCGAGACGCGACGGATGTTCTCCTTGTAGGTGGCATTGTGGATCAGTTCGAGCAGGGAGTGCTCCAGAATCTCACGGGTGATCGACTGAAAGTGCAGACTAATGGCATAGCCACCCAGCACGGCCTTGTTCATGTTTAGATGCTGCCAAAAGAGAGATGGAAATGAGCATTGAATTCCACTTTGTGGCCAAGTGCCTACCTGATCGCAGTAGAAGGGAATGCCCAGCATGGGTACGGCGTAGTGCACGCCTTCCTGGGTGCCAAACAGCCCTCCGTGTGTGATAAACACCTTCACCTGGGGATGGGCCAAGATGTCCGCCTGAGGCAGCCATTTGCGTACCATCACGTTGGGCGGCAGCTGGCGGAGGCTTTCATCCTCGAACTTCCACAGCACTCGCTGCTTGAGGGAGCCGAATACCTGCAGGAATAGCTGCAGCATCTCCTGGGGCATGTCCTTGCTCTGCACGTTGCTGCCCAGGCTGAAGAAGATGGCCCCCTCACTGGCACCATCCAAAAATGCTTGCATGTCCGCGGGCAGTGCCTTGGGGGGATAGATGTGCATGCCGCCCACCGGCACCATGGCATCCACTGTGGGGCGGGCCGTGGTCAGCGGTGCGTGACTGTTGAGCAGCATCACAGAGATCTCTCTCTCCATCTGCTTGACCTTTGGCACATCGCCTGGCAGCAGAGATTAAATAATTTCCCATTTCTCTAATACTCAAACTGTTATACTCACCCAACACGGGGCCAAAGAACTCTCTCGAAACGGCATCCATTTTGGGGAAGTAGTTGAGCAGGCGATCCAGATCCTCGTACAGCGAGGCATACGAGTTCTTCACTCGCTCCAGGAAGCTCATGCGATCGGTGAATGGCATAAAGCCGTGCGGCACAAAGGACCAGGGCGTGATCAGACCCATCATCTGGCTCATGTGGTTCTCGTAGCCCAGCGTACTGGTCGTTACCACAGGTATCTTGTAGATGCGCGCCAGGGCGAGGAATGCCTCCTGGTAGAACTGTTCGGCCAGCAGGAGATCAAAGACTCCCACGGTCTGCTTGGCATGTATCAGTGCCTGAACCTTGGGCTGACGCAGAGCGTGCTCTGTGGTCTTCAGCCCGATGATCTCTAGCATTTTCAGGAAATCATAGTTTGTCATACGCGTCAGCTCGAACAAATGTTGAGCGCCAAAGTTCAGCTTAACTGCGGGCAGATGAGACAGATAACGAGCGGATTCCTCTGGGTGAATCTACACTCACCATCGTGCCAGAAGTCGTAGACGGGTTCTATCAGTATCTCCGTGTAGTTGCTGCCCAGCTGCTCCTTCTCCAGCGAGAAGGCGGTCACCATGGTCACCTGGTGGCCACTCTCCACGAGTTCCCGCATCAGGGCCGTGTGCATCATATAATGCGATTTGCCTGCCACCCAAAATACGCACCGATTGAGTAGTTATTCCGTTTGTTTTGAATCTGGCTTACCTGGAAATGCATAGACTGCCAGTATCTTGGATCCCTCCACATGCCTGGACTGCGGAAGGCATCCAGCCAGCATCAAACAGCAAAGCACCACAAATTGCATCGCTTAGAGTCGAATGGAAATTTTTCTATTAATTGGATGTGCAAGTCATCGATGGAAAGGCTGTTTTGTCGGTTGAGAGCAATTGTTTGTAAGGCACTAATTGCTTACTGCTGATAAGGTTCAGTAATGTTCTCCAATATATTGTTGTACGACTTACTATATGACTAAAATATAATATTTAATCGCTACGTAATCATTACTTGGCCCTCTGTTTGAAGCAACAAATGTGTTGCGTGCTTGGAAAGAGCTCGTACTTATCGACAAACCTGAGGAGAACTGTAGGGAGATGTCACCGCTGGACTCTGGAAGAATTAGCTATGTGAAAGTCTGAGCGAAGACTGAGTCTGTGATCCGCGTCGATTGTTTGTTGATGTCCCCACCGCGTTTCATTAGAATAAACGACTGTTCTACGAAACGGGTTTCGTTCGGGTATAAGAGATACGAGTATGAATGCTGGCGGCAATCAATTTATTCTCAACTCTCATGTTATTAATTTTATCTCTGGGGACCCATTGTGCCTAGGGGGGGTAGAACCCAAAATAAATAAATCACTTGGAATAAGTTGTCTCCGTCGCTTAGTATTTGGTTTCGAAATATTTGACAGACATGACATGAGAGTCAATTAGTATTATTAGTTTTATGTGGTGTGGGTACTATGTAATAAACTCATCTGT